GATCCCCATAAAAAGCTGTGAAATAGGCATCAGCTGCCATCATTCACATCCGTTGTTTTATGATTTGACACCATTAAATCAAACATGAGTCTATTTGGACCAGGACCAGGAAATGCAGCTTTTTGTTCAATAACATTCTGATAAAAATAAAAATAAAAAAATTCACCTGGATATTAAAATCCCTATTACGAATATCTGTTTTGATTAATTCTGTCCGAATTTTAACAAGTGGTTTAATCATTTTTATTTACCGATCAATAACAACAATAAAAACCTTATTTGTAGTTTATTTCTAATTCTCCACAACCTTGCTGTCCAAGATCCACACAGATGGTTGCTTTTCGTACTTTGAATGCTTTCTTTAAATAAACGGCTCTGACCAGCAAAGGGTTCTGGTTCTAGTTATTTCTAACATCAATTGTTAATCTGTCAGCAGTCCAGACCAGAGACCACTTTTCACATGTCGTATTTACTTTACATGAAGTAGAATCCAATAAAAGCTGTCCTGGTTTGGACAGCTGAAGTCCACCACCCAGGTAGACCAAAGGCAAGAGCAAACTTTCATCATGTTGCTTTTTGGCCCTGCATGGCTGGCAGTAACTGTCAGGAGAATAGATTTCATAACCAGGGCTCTGCTGCTGCCGTTTGGGTTTCCATAGTTACACTTTAGCGAGTATTTCCACTTTCAGACCTGAGAGCAGAGCAGTCACATTCAGTGACAGGGAGCTGCTAACAAGCTCTGCAGGAAAAACGGGCGGTTCCTTTTTTCCTATCAGTCAGGTGTGTCCTACAACACCTCAGCTAACCAGAGCCATCCTTCCTTTTTAATCCTTTTAAAGGTCCTGAAAGGTTCACTAGGAGTAAAACAGGAAGATCTGTCAATGTGTTTTAGGTTTTTCTTATATCTCTTACAGTTGATATTGTTTTTGGGAAAACATCACATTGCATCAAAGTCCAAAAAGCACATCATAAAGTCAGCTAGGATATTTTCAGACCAGTAACACAAGCTTTAACACATTATTCATACCTACTGGTTTTTCACATTGTTCACCTTCAAACCATTAATATTGATCAAGCTTTAGAGATATTAGGATGAAATAATCAGAACAGGGAAGCATCAGTAAGCAGCAAATTTCCTACTCCTGATTCAACTGGATATAGATCTCTATTTGAATTAAAGCTTAAAATGCTTCATTTTATTGCAGCTTTAATTGTGTAATTTGGATTTTCGTTCAACTGGAAGGATAAACGCTACTCTGGTCTCAAGTTTTTTCCAGGTTTTCTTCCAAACTTACTGTGTATTTATTTCTTTATCTGCCTTTTATCTACTCTTATGCTCTTTTTCTCTATTCCTGCAAAAAAAAAAAAAAACTATCCCAATATAGTAAGAAAAGCCCCAAATTAAGATTCAAATGTAAAGAAAATATAAATAATGTTAAAAATACCAGTATATAGAAACTATAAAAAAAAAACATACAGCAGTAGTACAGATAAATCGAAAAAATATCTTTTGTGTAGATATGATGTGGTATATATGTTAAATATTAGGCAGTACTTAAATCTACATTTCTCCATGTGTTGTTTTGGTTTGCAAACATCCACACTACAATTAGCCTTTTTTTTTTAATTAAATCTTAATAATCACCCTCACCCTGCTCATGCTTGCCTCACATAAACACACATCTTTGTTCTGCAGCCGAACAGTTATGAGAGTAAATACAGTCTAAGAGGAGCATATTTTATCAATAAACCTGCAATAAGAAGTAATGCAAAATTCCACTGCATTTCATCTAGATGTGTTCAATAACAGAAGAGCTGCAGTGATGAGAAAAAAAGATTTCAAACTAAAGGAAAATTTAAACAAATAATGAGATACAATATAATAAAAAGGATATATGGAAATGTAAATTGATAGACTCTGTGTCTGCGCCTTGAAGTTTCTCTCTCCGGTTCTTTTTCCTGAAAAGAGATCACTGGGACAAACTCTTTAAATAACACTTCATAAATTATATGTATTAAATAACCATGAGTCATGAAAACATTTTATGATAGAAATTGTAATTTTATTAAGATCAGAGAAGTTGCTTAGAGTTACAGAAGGCAGTTGCATACCCCTGGGCTTACTTCTCAGGCAGTGGCCCAGATTAACAGTTAAAGAGGCATTTTACAGCAAACAAGTTAGCAGATGAGGAGACATCCATGGCTCCAGCCTTATCAAAATATTACACTTCGTTCTTAGCTGAAGGACACCGCTCTCATTCTATTCTCAAATCTTTGCCACATACAGAAAGATGATTATAACTGTATATCCGGACAGAGGAACTGTCTTAATTAGATTAACTGTTGGATAAAACATCAGTTCTGACACAAAACAGGCAGCTAATATTAAGGTGTAATAAACTCACACATCATCAGTGATAATTATCCTGACAGTAATTAACAACACCTACTGAAAACCATGTATTATATGTATTAGAGTATTTTTGTTGATAAGTGTTATACTGTCCATTTTTATTATAAGGAGATTACTGGTATTATTAATATTATTTAGTATTATTAAGAAATAATAATGAGGATGTTGAGCTATAGTAAAAACATTGTTGCATTTTGTTTTACAAAAAATAATCAAGATATTATTGAGTATTATTAATAATTATATATAATTATATATATATAGTTTTTGCTAAACTCCTTTTATAACTAAACTATATTTACAAAAATACAAAAACAATTCAACATTATCTTATGTTACATTTTTTTAAAAAGACAAAAATATTATTTCAAAGCAGTGATAAATGGCTTTTTCTGCATACATGCTTCACGAAAACTTTTCCCACACCAATATGACTATTTAAGGTGAAAAAAAGTGAGAAGTATTGTCAGATACAAAAAAAAAAAAAAAGAAAACATGCTAAAAGTCACTTCAAAATTTCTTAGAGGTTATAGGACAGTTTGATGAACCAGCTTGTGCTGCTCAAGCTGGTTCTGTTTAAAACGTGATTTTCACCTGATGGAGCACAAACACTGGCAGGCAAATATTTAGGAAGCTTTTTGTTGTTGAACCGGTTAGACTAGAAAGGTGTGTGTGTGGGTGGGGTGGGGGGGTGGGGGGGGAGTGTGAGTTGAAGAAGGTCAAAGGTCTCTGTTATAACTCGGGTGCCATGCCATGTGTCGAAATATTGATTACTGATTAAACAGCTGATCAGTAGAGCGTTTCTAGATTCCCCCCTCCCTCCTCAGGTTTATGGACTCATGTGTGACCAAGACTGCAGTCACTGTGTGGGACTTTGCTATTGTTTAAGCCTCATGTGTCATATTAGAGACCTTGTCTGCAATGATTAAAATCATGCATCGGATCACGAGGGACTCTGGGTGCCATTCGTTTAACCATTTTCTGACTGAACATGGCAGAGAAGCAGTAAAACAGGGGTGTTTCTTTTAAAAGCCTTGTGGTGTAAAGAGGCGGGGGGTGGATATATGTGCAAAGAGGGTGTGTGTGTAAGATGAGATGTTAGATGGCTCGTTTCTTTAATGTTTGGCTGGTTCTTTTGTGTTTGCATGGCCATAGTTAGGACCCAGGAAGCTGATTGGTCGGTTTGACGGTTGGACGTAGACTTTGTTTAGTGAAGAACGACATCCAGGATGTGTTTCTGTGGTCGATGTGAGTTCAATTAGAGACAAAGTTTGCCAAATGTTTGTCAGTTCAAGTAGGAAATGATTTATCAGGACCTAAACAGGACTGTTCGTTTTATAGGAACCATTCTTTTCTAAAAGATTTCTTTTGGTGCATTAAAAAGTATATTTGTTGTAACAGGTAAAAAAAAAATAATCATCTGGTGGAAGGTGGCTTTTTCTCCCGAAACACCACCAGAAAGTACAAAGACAGCAAGGACAAACAACCACACACAGATGACCAAGGGCAATTTAGAAAAACCCATTTGCATAGTCATGTTATTTTAGACTGTGGGAGGAAATCAGACCCTCTGGAGAAAATCCAACTATCCACAGTGAGAACATAAAAATTCCCTGTTTGAGGAAACACCTCAAACCCAGGATGTTCTTCGGACAGACAATATTAGAGGTTTTAATCTCTAAAAGAAAATAGAATAGAAAATATTAGAATAGAAAATCAGAATAAAATGGAATAGAATATAAAATAATAGAAATTAAAAGAAAATAGAATAGAAAATCATAGAATAGAATACCAATTTTACAAGATACAGCACAAATGAGTGGACCGTCTCCCACACTGACCTTGGCAGTAATTCTTATATAACCTCTGTATATTTTAAAGTGGTCTGTTTATTCAGCAGACTGTCTGTCAGTCTCTAAGCAACTATAATAAAAAGCAGAACACACTATTGGAACTCTTATGCTGTCATACAACAGTAGGTGCTGTTTGTATAATATAAAGCCGTTCTGGACATTAATACAAAATATTGGTCTATTTTGGCCACAAAATCTTAAAAGTTCAAGAAGCAAATCCCTGGCTTCCTCTTTCTGCCGACAAGCGAATAATCAAACATCTCATTTGCTGCCATTTTGAAGCTCTGTGGCCTGGCGCATCCCAAACCTGCTACCAGGGCAACCTTCATGGAAGTGTGTTATTAGATGATGAGAAGGAGAGATGTATGAAATATAAAACCCATAAATGTCATCGAAGCGTGCTCATTATCATCCCAAGTTTATTCTTGGCGCACTGGACTTGGAACCCAACAAGAGACAAGAACAGTGGGCTAGTTTTATGGTTCTCTGAGTTAATGTTTTTAATGCCTGACAGTGATGAGTTGCCGGTTCTTTGACACAACCTACAGGAAGGAAAATAAACAAATACCTTTCACAAAGGAAAACAGAGCTTCGTACAAACAAGGAAAATCTTAAATGTTAATTAAATTATAATAATATAATGTAATGGATGTATTTTACATCCATTTTTTCTATGAATGATCTCAATGGATCCTAACAGATGGGGCTGTTGCTGTATTTGTGTCTTCCTGCAGGATCTAGTTAACACCGCTGCCAGCACCTTTTTCTTCTTCCTCTCTTCCCTCGTTCTGGCCTGCATCAACCACAACACTGGAGCTGAAATAGCAGCAGTGGTAAGTTTCTGGTCTGCTTAAACAGATATGTTTCAAAAACAAGAGTTTTGTCCTTAGAAATGTCTCATTTTATTACTGGGAATCTTCTCTGCAACAGATTTTAGATTGTTGGGTTGCTGACAGGTTTGCAGAAGCAAACTTAAGGAACTCCTTTATTAAACTAGTTAATTAGTTTTAAATTTAAACTCAGACATTGTTCTCCTACTTCCTGTTCCTACTTGTATGCAGACCTTTGGCTTCCTGGTGACAGGTGTGTATGGCCTTAACACCTTCCTGGCAGTACGGAGGTGGCGCCGCGGCAATGGGTGTCAGGGGGCCGCTCAGACCAGCGAGTACATTCGAGCGCGCACAGCATCTCGAGGAGAAATGGAGGCTCGACCCGAGCTCGCATGAGACCTGGCAAAAAGAAGGCGACTGACTGACATGGACGCAAAAGAAATTAATGGAGTTTTGGACCTCGACAGCTCTCACACCAAAGCAGGATTCCTTTCACAACCAGAGAGTCAATCAGTAGCCATTGAGAGTCCTGAAAGGCTGGATCGGGACTAAAGGTGTAAACCGACAAGGAAACCATCCTCCACTTCATTGTCACTAAAAAAGCACTGTGGTGACATTAGCCGAGGTTTTGCCTTTCACTGTGATTGGAGTTTTACATGTTTCCTACAGTCCTCCAGGTTTCTGTGACGTATGGACGAGGGATAGACAGTAGCTCTATCAGCAATCGTCTCTTTATCGATCCTTTATCCTACAGCCTCTACCTGTCCTGGTAGCAGAAAGACATCTCAAATGTCTCTGACTGTTGCTAGCATGAAATCAGTGAACTATTTACCATCAGCAGCCAGTAGGAAGGTCAGTTTTTATGATTGATGAGAAACATTTGACTGTCACTGAAAAAAATTCTATATTATATGTTTTAACTTTATTCCTAGACAACCAAAAATCTTAGATATCAAGCTTGCCTTGGTTTTATTAACTTCTAGCAGGGCTTTTTTGTTGTTGTTTTTGTTGTGATAGTACATAATAATGACCTTATTTTATCCCATTATCTCAGCACCCTATCAAGATCTCTGATTCAAATGATTATGTTATACTTGTTACTTCCATTCAATATATTGTTTCAGCTGCAAGTTCAAGCAAGTTCTGCAACATATTTGGCCCCTAAATGAGTATTTTAGATCAGTCTCCTCAGGCAGTAAAGTGTATCTCAGGTACAGACAGTTTTTATTGTAGTTGTAATACACATAATGCATCTAAATATGAATCACAGGTTGCCTCAACCAGAACGCTGTGTCTCTTCATGTTGTCTGTTAGAAAGCTTAAGCAGACTGGGCGCAAAGCAGTTAACATTCCTGAAATGTTTTGTTTTTTTAATGGTTCCTCTGGTGATAACAAAGTGTATCTGGAGAAGTAGTATTATCTTTGCTTCTAAGGATAAAGGAGGTCTTTTTTTATTGAATATACATCCTAATTGGACTAAATGTCCATAAAGTTTAGAACTTTTTCCAAACCGACTCAATGGCTCCATCTGCTGGTTTTTATTTGAACTGATTTTTCTTCTACTACACCGTGAGACAAACTACAGACATGTTGGGGAAGGAGATCTGTGAGAGACAGGTGATTAATCTAAAATATCTCCCTACGAGGAAGGACAAGGATGATGTTTGACTGTTGATAAACTGAAGAAAAAAAAAACAGAAATTGCATTAAAAAGTTTTTTTTTTAAGTATTTCTGTAAAAGACAATCATGTTTGTATTTATGTTTTTAACCTTTATTAATGAAATGACATTCAAATAATGCTATGAACACATGTACTGCAACAACTCGTACTAAGTGCATTATACCTTTTAGTTTTGAAGCCGGCCATTTATTTGAATTTTAAAAACACGGCAGGCCTTTCTTTTTCAGCGTACCACATCATGATATGATTTGTAATGAAGAATTAGTAAAAATGAAGCTTTTTTTTTTCTTTTTGCACTTTTCTTTAATTGTCCTGTGGTGTTGTTCTGGTAAAGGTTTACAACAGCAGGACCAGTTTGTATATTTGTATTGAAATGTTTGAAACACATCCCTTTTAGTGGTGAATGAAATAAAGCAGCAAATATTGAAAAAGATCCTTTTATTTAAAGAGTTTGATCAGGCCCACAAAGCAATAAAAAAACATTAACGACAAAACATTTAACATGCAACAATTAATAAAAGGAGCCTGACCTACCATCTTCAATACTAATGCACATTTATTTCCACATCTTAGGGTACTAAAATAATTTGAAAACCGTTTAACGTTCATATAACATCTAGAAAATGCCAGTATGTACATTTGGCAGAAGCAATCCACTATTTTCCCATGTTTTTGTCAGTGAATTCGACTAGTTGCAATTCCATTTTGGAGGAAGAGCTAAGATATTTTTCATCTTCAGAGCTGTGACATTCATGTAGTGCAGCTGACATTACAATAAAAGCCACTGAGGCGCTCTAATGCATGATTTCATAGCAGCAGCTGTAAATAAACTGCAAAATCAAACAGCTTTTTTTTAAGAATGTTTTTACCAGACAGAGCGCCATTTCAAAGAAAAAAACATTTTCTCACATGGGTCATATTTGCCGCTTCTAAAAGCCTTCAGTACATGCAGCAGAAAAGCAAAGCTAAAGTTGAACGACAGTGTTTGATACATGACAACATATGATTGTCTTTCATATATTCTGTGGTTGGACAGATGGGGATCTTGGGATTTCACAAAAACATTATCAATCAGGGACATAAATACAAGCAAAATGACAAAAATAGGTTTGGCAACACTAACTTTATGTGATGTTTTGTTCATTCTGCAAAAATACTAACACATTTGAACAATTTACAGCAAAGTCACAATCATAAAAAGCAAACTGTAACAAAAACATAAGGAGTGGCTCAAAATGTTTGTACCATTCAGCTACAAAATGCAAAACATTCCCAGGCATTACTGTTGGTTATGTCAGTGAGAAAAAAGAGAGCACTGTTTCACAGCTTTATAAGCCATTAGGAGGCATAAATGGAATCAAATTATCACCAAATTGTTTGAATAATTACCCTTGATTCAGCTCTGTGAATAAAACAGGACATCCTGTAGGAAGTTTTGTTTTTTAAACCTGATGATAAGTTCAGAGATATAAGAAAGGCATCAGGTTTCTTGAGTTTCAGATAAAAGCATGTAACTTGGGACCAGCTGTTGTCAGATTGTTTGCTACTTGCTGTGTCTGTGAGGCAGCGTGAAATGAGGAAATTCCCGCATTCCTCCATAGATGGCATTTAGTGGTACCTTCTTTCCAAAGTTTGGATTGAACACACCTGCTTGTGAGTTTCAATCTGAGTCCGAGTCTGAAGAGTCATCTGAAAAACACAAAGTAGCAAACCTTCAGGTGAGTATATTTCCTTTCAGTGTGGTCAGCTGAAGTGCAGCAAGAAATGCTCACGATACGTCCTGTTTTCTACTTCTTGTCTCATCAGCATTCATATGATGGATTTTTTCTGCATCGGTTGTGTTATGAAAATTCACAGGTAAACATAAGCCTAACCCTAAGTTGTCTGCCTTGACACAGATCAAATTGGTCTAAATCTAAAGCTTTTACTGTCTGTGTATACCAAGGGCGTAGGTTTGATTTGAACTTTGGTAGGGACACTATTGGTCTGGTGTCATTGGTGCTGCAATATGCGTGCCCTTTTTTATGCTCGATGTGAGCATCCGTACTGATAAGACGAATTCATTGTTAAAAGAGAAAAGCATCATTTTGCTACATTAATAAAAATGTTATAAGCACTACACTCATTAGATGCTGTTTATCAGTTTGAAGTATCACAGGCTCTGATGAATGTGGAATTAGGACTGTTTTCCACTTTGTAAATGGTTTCATTTACATGACTAATAGAGAAGGTAAATACAGTATTTTCTTTTGAAGATATACAATTGTGCAGAGTTAAACCCCACTCTAATATTTTACCTACTATTCTCTCTGTATCAAGCAAAATAATACATTCATTAAAATATTAACTTCACTATAAAAGTTGAACATCTGGGCTCTAGTTACTCTGTATAGCCCATTTCATGTATTTTATCTAGGGCTGAAAAAATTAATCGTATTAATTGATTATTTCAATAATCGTCAACTAATTTAGTATGTGATTAATTATTAACTGGAGAATGGAGACTATAAAACATAATATAAATGTAAAATGTCCCTTTCCCCTAAAGAGCAATCCACTTAGATCAGTAATTATACCAAAATTGTAAAAATACAATATATATATACATATATATATATATACATATATATATATATATATATATATATATATATATATATATATATATATATATATATATACATATATATATATATATATACACATATATATATATATATATATATATATATATATATATATATATATATATATATATATATATATATATATATATATATATATATAAGATAAAAAAAAATGTTTTGTCTGTCAATATTCTCCATCCATGTGGAAATATTTTAGTTTCACCTGGTTTATTTAGACATCACCTGAAGCACTGAAGGGCAGCTGCTTCACCTACAAGCTGCCCTGCATCATTATTACTGGATATCTGTGTTTCCTATAATCATATAATGTATAACTGTGTTTTTAATAGTAAAGGATTAAATGTAACACAACCTTTTATCATTGTCCTATATTGCTTACTGTCTGACTGTTTAAATAGCTCCTTAATGTATGTCTATTTTTATTTTTAGTGGCATCATCTACAAACACAACACTAAGAATGAGTGTATTCAAATATAAAATAATTTTTAACAATTATAAAAGACAATATAACACTATCTTATCTGTAATTTAACATTATCCAAAATAAACAGCCAGATTCAAGCATTTTTACCAGACATTAATGTTTGTACTAATTTACTTATAGACTGTGTGGAAATCTATGTAAGATAAAATCAATGTTTATATTCTTCCTCTGTTTGTTCTTGTCTTTATCCTATTTCTAGAAGTATAAATAGTCAATAAAATAGAACTTTTATTATGTGGAACCCTAATTATGCTTTTTAAACGAAAAACAGCAGATGTTTAGGCCCCATTTCTTGTTGTTGTACTCTATAAGAGAAATAACACCTGCTAATAATTATACCTGAACTTTCTCAAAGAGTCATAAAAAAATGAAACCAGTAATAGCAAGTAAATATTGGTAAAAAGGAAACACTCACTTTTTCTTTTTTAGTTGGCTGTGGATAAGAATTAGAAATGTTGATGGCTTACAGCCTTTATTTGCCCATTTTGTGTCTTCAGAACTCCTGGCTGACTCAGAATATTTCGCTTTATAAAAGAAAAAAAAAGGTTTTTGTTTTTTAGTGTACATGATATTCATTTTTTTTTTTTATTGGGACTAGTTTTGTAGCCTAATATTTATTGTAGTAACCGCAGCATTCTAGTGTGAATCAATTTTCAATTTTGTGCTCCAAGCACACCAGGACTAGAAAACAGCCAATCAGAGAGAGAGAAGGCCGAACCTAAGGCAGAACAACCAATGAGAGTGGAGTTAAACAGCGCAGCACAGTTCCAAGCGCTGCTACATGAAAGGGACAGGAGAGACCAGGCAGAGGAGCTGCGAGAGGAAAAGAAGCCACTGCTGCAACAACTACTGCTGTAAATTATAAACATGTTGCTCACATCCAATTATTGGTCGGGACAATTAGGTCGGTTCAAAATTTTGGTAGGGACATGTCCCTATGGTCCCTATGCAAACCTACGCCCATGGTGTATACGACCAATGGCATTCCTAACTGTAACCCTGTGTTTTGGTAGGGAAGGCCTCATTTTTAACAGTTTGAGCTTTTCAGTAACAAAGCCTGCAAGTAGGTCTGACCTTATTTAAAGGATAATTATGGAAAATCTGAGCTGTAAGAATGTGTCTTTGCAAAAAGTCAGTGGAACATTTTTAGAACATACGCCATGCTTGACTAATTGACATTTTGAATAATGTCAATTATCTTGGGGTCTTGTTCATGAATGCGGGGAAGATGGAGTGAGAGATCAACAGGCGTATTGGTGTCCGCTGTGAATGTCCATAAGGTTGTCCTCTCTCTCTTCTGGTGAAGAGAGAGCGGAGCCAAAAGGCAGAGCTCTTGGTTTACTAGTCGATCTATGTTCCTACTCTCATCTATGGTCATAAGCTTTGGGTCATGACCGAAAGAACAAGAAAGAGTAGAGCTGCTGCTCCTCCATGTTAAGAGGAGCCAGTTGTGGTGGCTCGGGCATCTGGACGCCTCCCTGGTGAGGTGTTCTGGGCACGTCTCACCTGGAGGAAAGGGAAACCCAGAGGGAGATCCAGAATATTCTGGAGGGACTATGTTTCTCTGCTGGCTGGGATTGCCTTGGGATTCACCGTAGGAGCTGGATGAATAGGATGGATGGATGGATGGATGGATGGATGGATGGATGGATGGATGGATGGATGGATGGATGGATGGATGGATGGATGGATGGATGGATGGATGGATGGATGGATGGATGGATGGATGGAATAATGCTGTGATGGAGTCTACTAATAAAGTGTAATTAGGCTATTATTGGGTTTTCTTACAGAATAATATAAGACAGTCAAACATGTGTCTGCTTAAACATTGAATAATAAATTTAAATCTGTATTTAATAGCGTGCCCCTGTGAAATTAATGTCTTACAAACTGTCAATAATTTTAGATGATCCCATTGCTTTGTTTGCTGCTCTTTGTCTTAATACCTCTCTGTCTTGAAGGCTCATCGTTGGACTCCCCTCCTTGCTTCAGGAAGCCAGCCAGCTCATTAAAAATGAGATAAAAGTCTAAAGCAAAAACAATGGTGGCGATAAATCCAAAGATCTGCAATAAAAAAAGGACATTAGATGTGAACACAATGAACAAACTATTAAAGCTGGAAATCTGTAGTCAAAGCATGTTCCAACTGAAAATGCCCCCCTTTCATCAGATCACGCCGGTTTAGTGACTCCAGGAACAGGTCGAATTTAAGGTGAAGGATAACATGATTCAGCACTAAGACAGCCTACACCATTGGTTTCTGCCTTAAGGATGAAACTTCTTTACATCAGCATCATGAGAGGCTGCAGTTCAAGGGCTTTACTATAAAGTGTGGCGTGCACTGACAATTTGATCAATAAGGGTTATAGTTGAACTATACACCCTGCTTTATGCACATAATCGAGCACAGTTTAATGACGACTGTGTTCAGAAATTCAAAGTCAATGTGTTTTTCATTGATTAATATAATTGATTATTATTGCCACTGATGTTATCAGGGAATCGCTGTTTAACAGCATTAAAAACATTTTGTTTTTTTGAACTACAGCCTGTGAAACATACATCTAGGGCTGGATATCAAACCAAATGTCAAAAAATTAATTTGATTCTAATACACAAGATTTACAATAAATTCCCTTCATTCCAGTTCGATTTCTGGATCAGTGGTATTCATTTTCTTTTAGCTGTTACCTGAATTAGTTGATTGCTAATTATTCATTCTAAAATATTTACAAGCAAATTAATGAAAAGGGCAAACCAGAAGTGCCCTCTCAAACGTTACAGTCCGCTGTGAAATATAAATGTTTCATCAATTTTTGGTTATAAAAAGATTTTTAAGAATTGATATGAGAATCAATTAAGTACTGGAAACATTTTTTTTTTTTTTTTTTTTTTACACAGCCCTGCTTGAAACTTACTTCAGCTTACCAGCGTGCACACAATTTTTTACAGGTAACAGCTCAGTAAGTGATTTGTTTTAGACGCTGGTAAGAACCCTACCTTGAGGTTAGAGCTGGTATACCACATGCTCAGACTACCATCACTCAGGAGGAGCCAAACATCCTACCACAATGGCAAAAATGCACCACAGCTTCACCACAGAAAGTCAAGAGATGCCTCACATCTTCAGAGTTAAGAGTACTTGATGCTCTCCCCAAGAAATGTCTAAGGTCTGCCAAGTCCACCCCCCAGTCTGACTGATTTACTTATGTGAGAAATTAGTTTTGGTGATAAGGACAATCCCTTATGATAGCACTGACTATATATTCTTGATGCAAAGTAGATTTTTACCCCAGCAGCTTTAGAGGAACCATCTGGATACTTAGACACTGCCATGATGGAGATGATGAAAAAGATAATGGAGGCTGTCACACACCTCATGAAGTCCTTGAAGAGTGAGAAAAGGAAATGACAAAAATTTGAAACACATGCTAAGCAATTCAATAAATGAACAATAAAAATTAAATTCTCACCACGAGAGGAAAGCAGAAGCCCTGAAACCTCTCATTGAATTTGGTGGAGTAGGCGAACAAGAAGAAGACAGTAGCCAGGAAGGCCAGCAGGGGGACCGTCACAAAGGCTGCTGCTGCTGATGCAGCAAAACACACAAAGGATATGAAAGAAAGCGCCTGTAAAGAGAAGAGAATCTCAATGCCAGTGAAACATAGAAGTAAAAACAAAAAAATACATTTTGCTTTTAAGATCAGAGTTAACTTAAACTGTGTTTTTCCCCATCCAAATTTTACTTTTATCTTATTTAATCTTCTCCCAGGAGAATATGTTGCACATCTTTAAAGTTAAAAGTTTTCATGCCTTAGCTTTTGACCCCACTTCCTGTTTGGAAGCAAAACTTTAGACAATATTTATCCTCAATGTTTTGCACATGCAAACCCTCTTGGCGCTTCTTGAACACAAGTTTGAAAACACCAAAAGTGTAATAATAAAGAGGAAGCTTTTTGCAGAGTTGATCACTCTGCAAGTAGGCTTGGCCTCCTTTACAACTTCGACAGAAGATGCATGCAGAAAATCAGAGCAAAAGAAAGCAAGCCCAGACGCTGTGATCACACACATCCTCGGCCATCTTGTCTTTTGTCCTGGGCAGCTCCCCTGCTCTGGCCTAAGGCAGGGAAATAAAATCTAACTGCTGTAGAAAATAAATATTTCTAAGCAGAGGGAAACAGGATAATCCTTCCAGGGAACATTAGTAGCAGGCTCCTGTTCATGCTAAAACGAGTGAAAAGACTATTACAAAATAAATTAATTTATTCATAGCCAAGTGATAACAATTTATTAATTGTTCAACTGTCTTAATAAACAAGACCAAAACATATTTGATCCGATTCAGTTAGTTAAGAAGTAACTAATACTTAAAATTAATATTAAAGCCTATTTTTAGGTCTCCAACGTCTAAAGTTTAGATGAATTAATTTTCCTATACATCTGTTCCACCAGATGGCTTAAACTCTGTCCAATCAGTTCTTCTACAGGTCATAACGAAGCCTTACCTTAAGATGAAAGTCGCTTTCAGCTTTTAAGTTAACATTTTATTGAATGAAAAAGTATTGTTGTCCAGATATTTCAGGGTGTGTAGTTTCCCTCAGATGTTATCTAAAATTAGTTGGTTTTTATGCCTTTCATGACCATTAATGTAGGCTTTTTAATTACTTATTTGAATCCTTCTTTTTCCTAATTGCAACATTAATTTAATAACTTCTGGGATTTAAAGTTAAAGTTTAGTTAACCACACAGGCTGTGATATATTTATTTAATATACTTGTTTTTAAAACTTATACTAGGCTTAAACAGACCCTTGATGAAGCTCTCATTAGTTTAACATCTTTTCTATTTTCTCTAAATATAACATTCCTACATAAATGATCAAATAAACAAACATTAAATCCACCTAATCCTTTAAATAATGCTGAAGCTTCTCTTAAAATTTGCAAAGACCTACTACTTTTTGTCAGAGATCGTGACTGTTTGCAGCATTTTGTTTATCTCTGCTAGCAGAGAAAAAATGTCAAAAAGCCCTAACTGGATTAACCAAAACAATGGGAATCTCCTAGGAACTGAAATCTAAGAAAGAAAAATATTATTATCTTTTTTGAAGTCATTTCTTAATATCTGCAGAGTCCAAGCTAATAACATCGGGCATTAAATAGGTACATAGGTGAAAAATGAATGAGTTACTTTTAGGCTACAGTCTGGTTCTTAAAGAGACCCAGACTGCCAAAACTCAGATAAAATAAGATTGTTCAGTTCAATCTGAAAAACTCACATGAAGAGAAAAGACAATTAGGAGAAATTTATTGATTACTTTGTGTTTGGCGCTCAGAACTCGGCAGGAAACATAGCGCTTAATTTTGATAGATATGCATGAAAAGGAGCAAAGAATAGGGGTGTTTCCCCCCAGGCCTGAAACTGGTGGTGGAGTGGAGATAGATGAGGTTGGTCAGTCTGTAGACTGCTGGTTAGCGAGACGTTATGCTGAGCTTTATGGGGAGATCCAGTGGACTGGGTGAGCCGATACTAGAGCTTCACTCAGGAGAGGAAAAACTCCCCATTTGGAAGAAACCTCTGGCAGAACCAGGCTCAACATGGCGGTCTTCTGCCGGACCGGATGAGACAGGGAACGCAGTAAGAGTCCGGGAGGAATGACACTCTGATGAAGATTTAGCTACGATGGTGGAGGAGGGGCTGGATGTGGGTTGAAACAGTGTCATCTGAATGAAGTCACACAGCGCATCCACCACCTGCGCACAGGAGTGGACTAGTGCGGATCGGAGGCCTTTTAAGATTAACTTTGGATGCCATTTGGCTTTCATGGAGGTGTGGTTCAAAGCTGACTGGCTGTGTCGTGAGTCTACAACAACTTAGGAACCTCAAAAACCAGCATTGCCTAGTTTGAAATAAAATCCAAAATTACATTAACAAACTAAAAGAGAATAATTTTTTAAGTAATTATTTCCTAAAGATACATGATGTCTTTTAAGCCTAGTTATTAAAATACGTACTGATAGATAAATGGTTTAGAGTTGAGCGGCTTTGCGGGAAACCTTATCTTGCAAGTAAGATAAATTGTAACGAGATTTGTGAATTCATACGGGTCAATTTGATCTCCTTTTAAAATGTGACTTTAGGTGTAACTCTCTGCCAGTTAAACTCTTTGCATTTCATCAGCAAGCACTCTTGTATTGGGAATTATTTTAACTTCACTGCACACAACATTCCCATTGGTAACAGCAGATATGTACTGGTCAGCAGTAGGTCAGTATTCAAAAGAGAGTGTTATCTTAAAGGCATCTGGTCTGTTAGTCACTTAATGGATTCAGAATGGAACTTCTAGGACCATGGTCGTTTTTGTGCCTAATATAACCTACTTTCCCCACTTTAAAACGAAACAAACATGGTGGTTCCGTGCCATGTTAATTTGTTTTGACAAAAGTTGCATGTTATGACTTTTTTTCACTTTACAAAGCGCAGGCTATTTTAATTATTGTGATCAATTTGCGCCGTCATCCCGGCGCATGCGCGCTTCATTTGCAGTCTGGACGCTGAGGGTAAACATCCTGCGGCTCTGACTGCAACGCTGAGAGGGACTCCTGCGGGAGCGTGAGAACGGGTAGGAACGATACATGCTTTCACGTAAGAGTCTCCAAAAGCCGCTAGTGACACCGTAAAAAGTCGCCAGATTTGTCGCTAGTCGCTTTTTTGAAAAATAGTCGCTGGAGGGGTCTGAAAAGTCGCTGAGTTGGCAACACTGCACCTGCGGCGCTGACTCGCTCTGCCATATTTTTTTTTCTTCCCCCGTTTCAGTCAAGTGGATGTGATGACGGCGGCGGCGGATGACGCATTAATAGCGCGACACAACTAATCGATGATGAAATTCGTTGCCAACACTTTTAAAAGTCGATTTTATCAATTCGTTGTTGCAGCCCTTGATGTGATACATTGCAGTTGCTACTTCTGCTGTGATTGGCTAAAAACTTGACAGGGGATGGAGGTACGCGATCAACTTAAAGAATTGTACTTGATGTCCCTCCCCGTTTGTGAACACTTTCCACAGGAGGATTTCCAGGTCGATACTTGTAGATTTCAGAATGAATTGCACATATGCCAGGTTTCCAGTTACCTGGTATCAGCCAGCATTTATTTGGTGACACAGTGCAGCAGCTTATAAGATGTAATTTAACACAGCGAGCAAAACAGTAATGAAACATAAACCATCCTGCAAAATGTAGCTTTATGATAACATTTTTATTTTTCAAATCCTAAATTTTATTACTTTATACGGTAATAAATTGAGACCTAAAATATACTTAAATATTAAATTATCTGATATATTTTTCCAGTTTTACCTAAATGATTACATTTAATAACGTATTGAACAGCTAATTTCAGCTGCAGGAATATCATCTAAACTCTGTTTGAAGAGGGGGAAACTATAGAAAATACAAACTATGGAGCAGATGGGAGTATGAGAAAAAATAAAGAAGGAGACAGAATGCAGTATTAATAAATCTTAAGATAGTAAATATAACAAATCACTGTCCTCTAGTGACAGAATGCCTTGGGTGTGGGCCCATTAAATTATCTTGTTCCAGGCCCAGATAAGGCTGTCAGTTTGAGCCTCTGTTTCTTTCACATCTTTTACTTTTTTTTTTTAATCACCTGACAGTAGGTTTTGAACTACTTAGGCTGAATCTTTTTCTTTGAGCCTGTTTGTGAAGTTTTTAATTTGTGTGGATTTGCAAAGATCCTTAATAAATTCCTCTTTTTTTTATCTGCAGCTCTTTGTTGTGTAATCTTTCAAGATTAAAGAAAGACTGCTTTTTAAATTGAATTGCACCCTCGTTCTAATATGGCAGGAATCCTAATGATAGGTACGATGATAGATACAGGGAAAGTTTTGATCAGAATTCAGTATTCCTCTCATTCTGCAGTTTTAAAACCACTCCCCAATATGTCCTTGTTTTAAGATTTATTTCTTTATTTTCTGTTTTAAATAACGGTTACATCTTTTCATTTCTATATCTGTTCACTCTTCTGTGTGGGTCAGCCAAAATGGACATTCCTTTGCTGACATATGGTGGCCAGAATGACTCTAGCACTATCTTATATGATAATGCTGTGAGCTGTGTGAGAAGGCCTAAATGCTGACTGGGGTCATTTGGGAAGGAGACTTCCTGGCTGACTTTTAGATAAAAAGGGAAAGTGTGCAGAAACTTTCTGCTTTTTTCAGTAGGTTCTTCCCCTGAAATTGCAGAAGACGCAAGGGCCAGGTAGATGGTGAGACTCTCCTCTGCAATTTCTGCTTGTATCAATGATTTTGTTAAACACGACTTGAGTATAAACTGTAAATGCTTCACTCTTTTCTTTCTTTGTGTACGCTATGAGAAACAATACCTCCATTGGATTTGGATGGAGTAAAAAGGGTTCTACAACACCTTAAAACAGTGATTTTCAAGAATAAATCTTTTGATGATGGCATTTGGGAAACATAAGGACAAACCAGCCAGTCTAACAGTAACACAGTGAGTAATAATGCTTGCTCAGCAGGTTTTCAGACAGAGGCTACCAGCGATCTGCTTAACTCAGGCCTCTCACCTATATTAGTTTAGTAACAGTGGGCTAATTTTAAGCCAACTGTAAATCCAGCTTATTTAGATGAGAAAAGCTTCTCAGCGACAATTAGAAGGTTCTGCCACAATTCAAAACTATGTCAGGAGACAGTAGAATGTTAAAACATACAATACCTTTGAAAAATATCTCATTAAAACAAACATATTTCATTTAACACCACCAAGGAAGCTACAGTTATAAAAGCCCATTTACAATAAAAAAGAAACTGAAGTTCTACTTCTAATAGCAATTTCGGCAAACTTGCAGTGGAGAAAAAAATTTAAAATATAAAAGAATCTGATAAATCACAGTTTTAATCAAGATGTAAATAAGACATTTGACATAGCTTACTCTGTCCTGCATTTAATGGGAATTTAAAGTGTTCCTGATCCGTACAGTGAAGAATGTTCAGTTTGGCCTAGAAATACCATTGATATCTGTGAGTAATACAATGTCACACATAGGGAGTCCAGAGAGAAATAAGTTTCTCTTCTGTCTGTAACACTTCCAAATGAATGGAAACAAAACAATTTAGCCACAATGTTGAGTGATTGCTTCATTGACAAAACATTTCTGGGTTAAAATAACCTTTTCTCCGTTCAACCCACAGACATGACGTTGATCGAGCCCAGAGGCGTAGCCAGGCAATAACCAATGTATACTGAGGGGTGGCCAAGAGTGGATAGCCACCAGAACCTCAGGATCAATCTACACTGTCCCACAGGAACAAGCGCAACGTCCATATTTCTAAATAAAGACAAACTATAGTTTCCAAACAGTCTTTGCTAACAAATAGATGCATATATTTAAATGTCCATCTAGATAAAAGGTATATTGGATCAAATTCTTTCATTTTTGAGTTCTGGAGCAAACATCTTTTCCATCGTCATTACTTACCTACTTTTATTAACATCATTCTACATTAAATTGATATTTACAAGTACTAATATCTACATAAATTGATAATTTAATAGTTTTTTATTAAAATAGTTATTTACAGTATCTATGATTTCACTGAAGACTCTTAGATGACTTGCAGAGACGCATCATTTTCTCTTTACGGCATATAACACAAAATCTAGTTCTGAAAGAGCATGAATTCTGTACTAATCATCTCTAATGTTAGTATATTGATGTGCATAATTAACCACAGTGTTTTTGTTAATTATTGTTAATATATACAAAATGTAACTTGAATATTCTACTTGAGAGAAAAAAATGGTAATATGGCTAAAGGTGGCCATGGCCCTCCCTGGCCCCCCATCTAGCTCCGCCCCTGCTCGAGCCACATCTCATGACCAAAGTTGTGCTTTTAATAAATGCATTATGCTTTTGCTCTTATTTATTTGAAGATTTCTCAGAGGTGATATCTTTTTGCAGCACTTAGCCACAATGCAAGCACCACAAACGCATCAACCCTCTGCAACAGATGCTTACATGATTGCTAACTATAAAGATAGGACTTCCCTTAACAGACACGTCTTTTTTTTATAGACAGATGCAGATCCAGCTCTCTGTGAAGAAGCCTAATGTGTGTGATTAAAGCACACTGAGCTCCAGGCCATGATGTAAAGGATGTGACTGAGGGGGAGGATAACTTTTCTCCAGCATCACATGACTACACGGATACAGCACTGTGTGTGCCCAATTATCACAAGTAACCCCTAAAGTCCTGATGCTTATGATCATTTCCTGCCTCACCCTATACGCCCCCTCCTGCGACTCTACAAATCAATTAACTTCTTTGTTGGAAAAAAAAAAAAAAAAAAAAAAAAAAAACTTTCACTAGCTCACTATCTCTGGGCTGGGAAGCTGTTGAAGCGGAAATGTCTAAAGGATCTACTTTCTGGTAACAGCCCCCCCAAAAAATTAAAAAAGTAAAAAACATTAAAAGTCCACACACTTTTTGATATTCATAACAAAAGATAATACCTAAATTCACAAATGGGACCAAAAAAATTTTTATTTTTATTTTCTACCACTGTTTAACAAACTCTCCAAACGCGCCAAACCCTGTGCGTAATGGCATATTTCATTGGATAGGCTGGTCACCCGCTCTCATTTCTTACCACTTCACCAATAAGCAGCATTCCTTTTCTTGAAGTAGCGAACTCTTTGCTCGGAAGGACCGACTTCAGGACGGATTGGCGCGACTGGGTCGAGTCGGGCGCCTCGATGTCCCCCATTGTTGACTGGTGTAAATCTCTCCTCAAGCTGCTGAAGGCTCCGAGTTGGATGTTTGGGGCTCAACTCAAAGCAAAGCAAAACCAAAAAAAAAAGAGACAGAAAATCGTGTCGGGGGCGTGAGGCTGGGAGGGGGAAGATGTGGAAACGGAAATAATGACAGCGCGGAAATTCAGTGAGAGCTCCAAAATACTGAGACACATCTGCCTTCTCCAGATGTGAAATGTGATGCCCGCTGCAGCTGCATAAGGACGCCCCTCCAACCCCTTAGAGGAAACAATCTTTATTGGTACAGTTCAGCAACATTAAGCCAAAGTGAACTTTTAGAACAGAAGTGAATGTCACGATTCACCACAATCCAATACTTAGTAGGAGTAAACAGAGGCGTAGCCAGAAAGTTTTTACAAGGGTGGCCAGGCAATAACTAATATACACTGAGGGGTGGCCGGAAGTAGACAGGCACCAAAACCTCAGGGTCAAGCCAAAGATAAGACTTACTATACTTTCCCACAGCCTTTGCTAACAAATAGACGCATACCGGTATATTTAAACATCCGTGCTTTCTAGATAAAAGGTATAGTGGATAAAATACTTTCAGGTTTGAGTTCTGGGGCGAACATCTTTTCCATTGTCATTAGTTACCTACTTTTATCAATAATCATTGCATAAAAATAATATTTACAAGTACTAATATCTACATAAATTGATTATTTAATTTTTTTTTATAATTAGAATTTAAATAATGATTTAAATTATTATTAAAATTAAGATATTTATATATGATTTCCCTGAAGACTCCTAGATTACTTGCAGAGACACATTGTTTTCTCTTTATCCCTTATAAGAAAAAAATATAGTTCTGAAAAGAGCAGGAATTCTGTACTCATCTTTAATTTTATTATATTGATGTGTATAATTAACCATAGAGATTTTGTTGTCAAGAAAAAATTGTAATATATGAAAAAATTAAATGAATATTCCATTTGAGAGTATTACTGCTGCCACCATCTAGCCTGACGTAGTCCTACTCAATTCTAGTCAGAATATGAGTCTGATACTGCTCCATAGAGCTGTGATTATGGGGCGTGTTTCGAACGAACCAGGAAAAAAAATTCCTCTGCACTCAATTGGATAGACCTACAACCAATAAGAGCAACGGAGTGCGTGACGTATGTTAAGCGACGCATAGTTGTTGTCAACAAAAATCAAAGCGTGCAATTGCACGCCTAGAATAAGAAGATGAGCCTTGATCGCGTTTCTCTGTTCCTCTTTTAAAATTAATTTGCTGTCGATATCTTCTAGAACAGACCTAATAACAGAATCTACACACCCCAACTCTCCAGCGGCAGCCATTGTTGTTGTCACCCAAGCGAGCTTTGGTGACGTGGTTGATTATGTTACTGTTGATCATCTGTCCATCATCGTATAAAGCCCGCCCTGACAATTTGATTGGCCCGCCAGATATTGTGCCAGCATACTCGCGCTACTATGGAGCAATGCCAGACCGTACTTCCCGACCTCAAACATTGTGGGCGGGACTAAGTTCGGAATGGCACCCAGGCTAGCCACCATCTGTATAGAGGGGAAAAAATGGTAAGGGTGGCCAATGATTGGCTAAGCGTGGCCATAGCCATCTAGCTCTGCCCCTGAGAGTAAAACTACTTCAATGGATTTATACACACCTATAGGGTTGTCAAAAACACCTATACTTAAAAAGGTATGGATACTCTCTTCATTATTATTATTATTAGTAGTAGTATTATTTATTTAGCCTTTATTTAACCAGGTTAGTCCTGTTGAGATCTAAAATCTCTTTTTTAAGAGAGACCTGGCCAAGATCCAGGTCTATCCAGATACAATACTTATTCAGCATGGTATTGATAGTATGGGTGTAAGGTGGAATATATCCTGTTAAATATCCTTAATTGAATGATACTTGTATACCGTATATTTGAAATACAGTTGAATGGAAAGAAATATTATGGCAAACACCCATTTAATTATAATACTTTTATGTAATCCTTAGTCCTAACTGACAGCAGCAGAGCTTCATTATTATAAAAAGTGCTATACATCGTCTTTGCTAACATATCTGGATAGATCAGAATAAATTGCATTGTGACACATGTATAATGATACATAATGCATTGCCAAATATTTGCCAGTTCACACCAGTAAACAATATTAAAGACTTGCTTTTGCATATTTTTGCTATTGTTCATTTTAGATTCTTCAACCCTTAAACATAGTTTTAAGTCTTTATTTTTAATAAATCCATTTGCTTAGTCTGGTTTTCTTAAAGGTATCGAGTATTAAATGTAATTCTGGATATTTATATCAAGTTTGAAATTTTAGTAGTACTAAAATTTACTACTGAAGTACTACTCAAGTAAAAGTATAAAATAAGTACCGGTATTAGGCAATAAGTACTTAAAATAAGATAATAAAAAAATATATAATATAATTGTAAAATAACGCGTTCAGGTAGAAGAAACACTTTTACAAATTATATTTAAACCTATGAAATGAATCCAGGTTCACATATAGGTGTTAGAGCAGCACAAGGTACCTCCAACTATACTGTATATTAGCCTGACCTCTGTTTGAGCTCTGCAGATATAAACCTGTGTAAAAAAAAAAGAAACACATACACACACACACACACACACAAAAAAAAAAGGTTTTTAACATAGGCTGTAATTTTCCTTGACTGAAGCATTTTTGGTGAAAATAAGTTAGTTATTTTTGTGCAGGTTACCTTCCATAGATTGAAAAATGCCTCAAGAGAAGTAATACTAAAGATTGTTTTGAGGCACTAGATGCCTTTATTTGGTTATTTTTGAAGGCAAGTAGACAGAAAATGGGAATAGAGAGAGGCGGGAGACATCCAGGCAATCTGTTCAGGTCTCAAACCTGCGATGGCTGCATCCAGGACCAAAGTGTCTGTACCACCTCTGCTGCACCACAGCGCCCAAGCATAGTAATACTAATTTAAGTAAAAGTTATGGTAATATAAAAATACTCCTAGAAGTCAAGAATTTACTTAAGAACATGCAAGTAAGTAAATGTAAGTAGCTACTACCCAACTCTGCTAATCCAAGGCAGCATAGCTTCAATTTAATTTTTCCCCAAAATGCAGCTGGTACAAGACAACCCACATGCATTCATTGAATCTTTTAGATGTGATTTTTTTTTGGATGTCTTTTAGACATTTTTATGTTGTACATAATTTAGTACCCATAAAACCTTAATTGTTACAAATTGCAAAGAATAACATAAAATAGGTTCTATGCTTAGCTTATAGTAAATGTCAAAAGAAATCATCAATGCTTCTCCTCTCTCATTATTTTACTTTGTCCATATTCAGTTGAGAAGTAGATGTTTTTTTTTCTTTTCTTTTTTCAGCAGGTTCTGTTGTATCCATGTTGCACGCATGGCCGAAGTTAGCTAATTAAAAGCATTCATGGACAATCATGCACACAAAAATTGTTACTTTTCTCTTTAAGTGGGCTTCTTCGGAAACCTTTGCTGTATTTAGTCGTGTTTAATGGAAAGGTGTGCCCTACTCATATTAAAATGAACATTTTCCATCTTTGAAGATACACATTTTGCATTGAACACATTTTATCAAATAGAAATTTGCTAAATTACATGATATTTAATGTACAACTAAATTTGTGACCTCCTTGTACTCTAGTCGGCCCTTTTTTGAGGGCCTTGAACTGCTCTCATGGTGCTCTACAGCCAACAACTACTTACACAGTAACCATATGACAAATCACTGCCTGCTCCTTGTTGTCTCCTATGTTGTTAAATAGTATACTATTGTTTTTTAAGCACAGCAGCAATTTAACCTACAACTGGGATTAGAGATCAATCAAGAGCAGTTAAAAATGCCACCTCCTCCTCTGGTGAAGGAAGGATCAATAGAAGGTTCATGCTTGCAGCACAATGTTTTATCCTAGCATCGACTTTTTGATCCCTTTTCTTAACAATCTATGCATTTATAACTGCAACATTGATAATTTGTCAATGGTTGTGCCATGCTAAGAATCCAAAACTGATCTTGAAAACCCAAACATGATAAAGGAGGTCAGCATCGCCCGTTAATTTGTTGAATGACTGGATCACAGCAAATCATTTTATTGTAGTGCCCATTTTTTAATTTTAAATCACATTTACCTCCATCTCTATCTCTTTTTGTTGTCATATTATTCTCTAAATTTCCTTGAGTTTTAAATAGTGCTGGGTGATTAACTGATAAAATCCATCAATCAAATTTTCTATTTATGCAATAGAATTTTTGGAAAATCTTGATTTTCCTTTTCTCTAATGCATTTCTAGGGCTTCCATAGATCATTGTGACATGAGTTCATCACCTTTTGTTCCTAGATGTGTATCTCTAACTGATAAACTGGCTGACTGTGTAACATCACTAGCTGCAAACATTTCGTTTGTTTCCATCGTTTGTTGTGAAACATTTTTAACAAGCATTTTCACAGCTTGAATTTCTCTGTCCTTTAAATGAAGGTCATCTTCCAAAGAGGATAAATAAAATACAAGCTGGTTTTGAAAGTAATGTGTTTAATTTGTAATTTTTATAATTAAAATAAGGGAGAAAAAAACAATTACTTTAATTTGGTAGGAAAAAATCTGAGACTAGATTCTTTTAAGCCATATTGCGCGGCCCTAGTTTTAAAAGTTTAATATTAATGTATTTTTTCCCTAAGAAATTACAAACATGAGCCATTTTTCAGCATATTTAACTTCAAGCTAAGTTATAAATGTTAGGATTCCAGTTTGTGTGGGTTGTTTTTTGTGTTTTTCTCTCTCCACCACCAGGTGGAGCCCTGTTCCTCGTTGGGCTTCCTGCACACCTGCGGCTTGTTGGATCATTACCAGAGGAGTATTTGAGCAGCGGGCGGTCGCTACCTCGACACCAGAGTGTTTGCCAGTATTGGATACTCTAGCCAAACTTAGATTAGCAGAGTCTAACCTTAGTCTTGTCTTTCTGAGTCTAAGCTTGCTTTGTCTTTTATTCTCCAGCAGGAAGCCTTCCTAATTCACTGAATAAGCATGGACCTTCTACCCTCCCTGGAATGATAAACTGAGTCACACTGAGCAAGGGGAAACCTCCACAAGATCCGTTCAAGTCCTCTTCAGGAAAACCCGGTGACAGTCCGCTCAATTGCTCCTCTGGGTCCAATTTTAGTGTGCCTGTCCGCCCTCCAACCAGTTCTTTCATCTCTGGATAAAACCCTACAAACTTGATCCAAAGAATAACCAAGAGCCCCCTAAACGTGGGTGCCTCTCCTGCAAATTACAAGCCTCAGTCGTTTTTCCTATGGTTCCTGAACTGATCATTGTGATCTCCCTTCAGAGTTTCCGGTTCCGGTTCACCAGTCCGCTGAGGTCCAACTGTGTAACCCAGCTGTATATCTCTGTCTGTGTTTTTGCAAACCACAATAAACTTGTTAACTTTTACCCTTGGCTCTTGAGTTGTCTCTGCATGTGGGTCAGAACCTTAAAGCCCAGCATGACAATAAATGCATAGTACAGTTTATGTAACAGAAAATTTAACAGATATCACAACTAAATATTTAGTGTAACTATTGCAAGAAAGGACTTTAATTGTTTTTTATATGAGTAGGAAAGAGCAGCAGAAAAAAACAATAAGTGTGAAATGATCTCCACATACAGAACAGATAAACTTTAGTTTCTACATTCTAGAGCCTTCTTTCATTTAAATCAAGCTACTTTTCATTCATTGGTTTGATTCTTGGTTTCATTTCTTGATTTGTTGAAGGTGATGTTCTTGAAAAGCATATAGCCATCTGCAGACAGAAGTCCAGCTGATATTAGACACACCGCCTGCAAACACAGAGCAGATACAAGAAGCACAACATTATAGGACAACACATCATTGGATGTTTTAACAAAAAAATTAAGCATCAATCTTTCAGTAAAAAGAAGATAGAAATGATTTAAATAATTGAATAAGATGATGATGATTAATATGAACTATAAACTTTGAAGATATAGAAGTATTTAAAACCTTAATCAACAGTCCAACTGTGCCTCATGTTCTCTCTAAATCTAGTTTAGGGCCAATATTTATCACTAATGTATCTGTTATATCTTTTGTTAACATTAAACCATTTTTTAATCAGTTTTCACCTTAGCTTTTCCTAAAGTTACTTGGTTAGTCAATAATGAGTTTCCATAAATTAATTGTCCTGATTTTTTTTATAAATAGAGTTCTGCTGAAAAGTCAGGGGCAATCAATATCCTACCTGGAGAAGACGCTGCAAAACTTTTTATCATGTCCTGGAGACAGAGTTAAGCTTCTAATCAAAGATTAGTCAAGAACAAATCATATACCTTAAGATAAATGTAACATCATAGCTTTACAGCAGTTAGTGAGAGCACTGTTAGCACAGCCCCTAGTGGCAATTTCTCATTAAATATGAGGGAGGCTAAACCTCCCCTGTTAATTTCATAACATTCTTTGCTAATATATGCATTGTCATTAAACTGCATTAAATATGCACTAAAATGCGCCTGATTTCATGCATATGTTGTGCAAAAATCAGTTGTTTATTCCATTCTCTGACTCAATCTCCCCTCCGCTCTGGAGCATCAGGATGCTTCTTTCCAGCCTCTATGATAAATCCCTGTTGAGGTTTGAGCCTTGTTCTATTGAGGTAAGCAGGAGAGAAAGTAGAGCCCTGACTGGATAAAAACGCGTCACTTCCAATGAGGCTAAACCTCTTAGTGGGTCTATGGAGCAGGGGTGGGTCATGAAGCTGGCTGCTCAATGCTGATTATCAAACTTACTTAATTATATTTGACTGACACTGGCTAGACAGCGAAGAGGTTTTCTTCATGATCATTCAGTCAGAAAAGTCATCTTGTGCTGAACTCTTGCCGAAGTTTATTATTTCAGAGCGATTCACAGCAGCTATTTTCAGCAGTTGTAGTAATGGGTTTTATGTGTTTCAAAAATGTTAATGCAATACGTAATGTTTGGATTTAATTAACACCATTGAACCTCCCCTGTTTCAGAGAGCAGCTGCACTGATAGCCTCATATCCTGCTCATGTCTTCAGCCAGCTCTGGTCGATGAAATGTACTCAGAAGAATGATGCAACACTTCATGTGTTTAAGTTGAAGCTAATTCAAAGCACAGTCACTACATCCTTGCACAAACTTGGTTCTAATTCTGATTTATAAAGGGACCACTCACCCCTCCAACCAGGGATCCTGTGATAGGGTATGAAGTCAGAGCCATTAGGCTCAAGACAATAAGGTAGACTGCTGCAAACACTGAATTGAAAACATCCTAAAGAATTGAAAAAAATAAAGACAATCAGGATCTGAACATTTAAACAGGTTATGCTGCTATCAATGTTACGAAATACACAAAATGGTGTGTGCTGAATGTTTACTTACAACGATGGGCCAAAAGAGGAAGGTGAACCTCTTGTTGAGTTTCAGTTGGTAGAAAAGCAGCAAAAGTCCAGTGATCAGAAACTCCAGCACTGTGGCTGCAAGGTATGTTGGAGTGGAGGCAGTAGCGAAGCACACAAATGAAACAAACAGGGTCACCTAATATGTAAGGGGAGATTTTCAATAAATTATCTTAGATATACAGATGGACTCCCTGTCATTCTTTATGTAACACAGTGGACATTTTGGTGGGTTTTTGATATAAAATGTACACTTTGATGCCATTTTTGCTTTAGCTTCTGAAAAACTCTTCATGGAGTTTCCTGCTTTCAACAAAGTGTGAATCTGTGAAAACAAACCGCCTTACCAGCTGTTTCACTTCCTCGTTCCTGGCTCCATGCAAGGAGACTGAAACTCTTAAGACCTACAGAAAATATCTTATGTTCATAATAGGAAACAAAAGTATCTCACCGTCTCTGCCACTTTTACTATTCCCCTTCTGGATTTGAGAAAAGTAGAATCCATGGTGAAGGTTTTTTGGTTGTCGTTCTCTGACATGATGGTGGTTTCTTTCATTTGCAAAAGGACGCGTTTGTCTGTTTCCTGTAACATGCAAGCTTCTTTGAGCTGAAAAGGGAAATAACTGATGTGTAAACAATCATGTTTTTTTTGTTTTTTTTTATAAATCTCCCACTCTAACAGTCGTAGTTCTGCAGAGGGCTTTTTAAATAAAATGTTATGTTTAGTATAATTAGTCTTTACATTTATCAATATACACTGCTCAAAATAATTAAAGGAACACTTGAAAACACATCAGATCTCAATGGGACAAAAAATCATGCTGTTTATTTATACTGATATGGACTGGGTGATGTGTTAGGAACCAAAGGATGCCCACCCCCAAAATTACAGTGAAAAAATGATGGGTTAATCTAGTCCATTTTGCTGAAATTTTATTGCAGCAGCTCAAAATGGTATTCAGTCATTTGTATGGCCCCTATGTGTATATGCATGCCTGACAATGTCGGGGAATGCTCCTAATGAGACCACGGATGGTGTCCTGGGGTATCTCCTCCCAGAACTGGACCAGGGCATCACTGAGCTCCTGAACAGTCTGAGGTGCAACCTGGCGGCATCAGATGGATTGAAACATGATGTCCCAGTGGTGATCTATTGGATTTAGGTCAGGCGAGCGTGGGGAGCGTGGCCAATCAATGGTATCAATTCCTTCATTCTCCAGGAACTGCCTGCATACTCTCTCCACATGAGGCCAGGCATTGTCGTGCACCAGGAGGAACGCAGGACCAACTGCACCAGCATAGGGTCTGACAATGGATGCAAGGATTCCATCTCGATACCTAATGGCGGTCGTTGCCGTTGTCTAGCCTGTATAGGTCTGTGCGTCCCTCCATGGATATGCCTCCCCAGACCATCACATAATGTTCTCCACAGCTTCTTTAGACTCTTTGACGTCTGTCACATGTGCTCAGGGTGAACCTGCTCTCATCTGTGAAAAGCACAGGGCGCCAGTGGCGGACTTGCTAATTCCGGTGTTTTGTGGCAAATGCCAATCAAGCTCAACGGTGCCGGGCAGTGAGCACAGGCCACCCTCAGACTGAAAGGTCTCATCTTGTCTGCAGTTTCTGTGGTTTCTTTTAATAGACCTGACTTTTACTGTTAATGCAAATTAGATTATGCGGTCCTTCCTCATCCTAATCCATAACAAACTTATTTTAGTTTGGACAGCAATCTGTTGAAACAACACACTGGAGACTTTTTTTTAGTAGTTTAAGCTTACATTGTGTAATTTCCTGCTCTTCTCTATTCAATCTTCTTTGCATAGTCAGTTTAACTAAGATGGAAAATACATGAGGAAACAACACATGATAAGAAGTTTTAAAGCAGTGCAGCAGGTCTTCTCACACAAACATATATATATCATTTTTCTTTTACTTGGCTCATGTGACTAGCTGCAAACTTAACCTTGCTTGAAAAAGATCACTTTTTGGGTTGTTGGGCGACTACTTCTCTTTTCACACTGACAACCAAACTGAGTATATGTCATGCTGGTTTCAGCAGGATCAAGTTTGTATCAAAACCCAACATAATTTCTGCTTTGTTCCCAACAATCCAACCACATTTGCTCTCAGCCTGTAGTAACAGACTCTGTCAGATGTCGTGGCTTTTTTTGCACTAGGTCTTTAATGTTTTTTTCTGCAGTACTGCATATTCTACTCTAATATCCACCACTCTCTACAACCACTTATCCTCCGTTAAAGATGAGTAAAGAGAGCAAATTCAGCTGTTAATCCAGAGCCATGATGTCACCCCGATAGTAAAAAAATACAAAACAAAAACAACCTTTACTTTAATCACTATTATTCAGTTAGTAAAGAGGTAAGAAATTCATTGTTCATAATAGGAAAACAAAAGAAAAGACTCAGGTTAGAAGGGTCTGCGTTGGACTGTTTTTAGTCTGGAGATGCCCAAAGCTCCTCCAGTTAGAGCAGTTAAATTGTTTATAATGCAAAAAACAGAAAGTCGATTATTCTTATAATAAGTATCAGGTTCATCATTTTAGCTTAAAATACTAGTTTAAGACTCTCCCTAAAACACACCCTTTGCAAAAGCATTATGCACTTTCTGAGAGCTTGATTCTTAATGGTACTGTTTTAGATTTTTTTTTTTTTTTTACTGTCTTGTATTTTATCTTATTTCCTTCCTGTGTGTGACATCCTCTTCTCTGTGAAAGGCACTATCAAAATAAACTTCTCTTACTTATTTACTATGGAAACGTCAGTCAAAGCAAGAGAGGACCAGACTAAATCATTGAGGAGAAAATGAAAAAAACAGCTTTGATTTAGGCCATTTATGTCTCTTACTTCACAGCTCTCAGGAACATTCATCATGCATCATTAAGAAACTGTCATCAAAACTTTATTGTTTAGTGCAACGTGTGAAGACTGAATCACAATATCTGTTTAAACTCAATCAGCATAAATAGATCATCCCTTTCAGATCAGTTAATCCCTTAGTTTCATCCTGTACCTTTTTCCACAATTTTGAATAAGAATGAGTTTGCAAAGTTTTAAAAAACATACTTCTGTAAAAATAAGTAGTTCATTAAACGCTGAAAGGTACATCTCTAGGTTTTGTTTCTCCAGCTCAGTGTCTTCTGCAGGGTGTTTATCTCAATGCGGCCAGTCACACTTCCAGGGTGAAGACTTAGGTGGTTCCAGACACTTTCTCAACTTCTCACAGCCAGGAGGGGCCCAGTTCTGCAGAAAGGAACAGTAACAACAATAACAGAATATTTACAAAACCCTTAAATTAACTTATCAATCTTTAGACAGTTTGGATTTCAGATGCATCTTATTGGCACAGAGAACCACATCACTTATCTGCTGTTAATTCCCATTATGTTTTTGTTTTTTTGGTGGATATCAAGGTGTGTGTTTGTGCATTACTCTCTTTCCACTGCAAGTCTAAACAGAATGTGGAAATGAATAATTACTTTCAAATGTTTGTTAATTTGAGAATTATTTATGTCCACATTTATATAGAAAATTGTTTACATTGCAGTTGTATAAACAGAATGGACATTTAACGTTCACTTACCTAAAGAAAATAAATGAGAATATGAAGAACTCTTTTATAAAGAAATTATTTATGGATGTGCTTATTTTTAATTATAGGCCATAATGAAACTCAATCTTCATTGTTTTACTCATGAAAAGAAACAGTTTGTGGAATGAGAAATACATTCTTTAAAATGATACATTCTACTGATTTACAGCAGTCATATCAAATATACCAAAACAATAGGAAGAGATTACTGATCTTGTACTGACCACAAGAGGGCTCTGCTACGTAACAAATAAGGAAGAGGAAAGACCTTGGCAGCCTTATAGGAATAAACTGCTCACTTCAGGGTCTTTTCTATGACATTAAAACAGAATTCTTCACAAAAACACTGAACACAACCAGACAAAAGACTCTGATTCTGCTGATGAAATCATCAACTACTGCAAAGCAAGAACTCCTTAATAAAAAATCTATGATTGGTTTGCTTCGTATTTGCACATTTTAGAGCTTAAGACATTCTCCATCATTAAATTCTTTCTCGCTTATTAGAAAAAAGGAGCCTTGAGAATGTTACTTTCTATGTAACTAGAAGCGACAACATCTTAAATAAAATGCTTAAAAAGGTCAACCCTTCAGGTTAACCATCATCTACATAAAACCTTATCTGCACAGACAGACTTGGATGAGCCCCTACTGAGTGATGCATTTGCTTTGGTAGCTTGGCTCTCACCATCACTGCCAGGTCACACATGTTGAGCTGGGGCATGCCAGGCACCAGAGTCTTCTGATGCTGCTGCACAACTGCTGAGACGCTTTGCAGAACATCTTGGTACTCCTTGGATAAAACACTGTAAGCACATATCAAACAGATCATGACAGCAGCTAGAACCTTCTGACAGTTATTATTATGGTAGATAAAACAATCAGGCTTGTTTTTCTGACCTTGTTTCTAAATTTTTGCTGAGACCTGATCAGCAGAAAACAGTTTAAGCAGTAGCTTTTTGGCGTTCTTTTCCCAATACTATAACAAAGATAACCAAAATGCGTTGCAACTTTAATTTACTATGATCGTATATTTTAATCTAGGAGAAATAACGCAATTTCATGGTTATGTTATGTATAAAACATTCAAACTTCCAGTCATTGAGACATACTTGTCATCTTCCACTTATCCAGGAACGGGTCAAAAGAGCGGCAGTCTCAGCAGAGTCCCAGACTGCTCTCCCCAGAAAACTCTTTTAGCTCCAGTGGGGGAGCTTAAAGTGGGCTCAAAGTGGGCCTCCTCCCAAGGGAGGTGTTCCAGACTTGTTAAATACCTTAATATGTAACTTTATTGCAGTTTCAAAAGGTGGTGGAAATTTTGTTTTTGTATTGGAAAACATTTATCGAGTAAACTTGTCACAAATAAAATATGAAAGACATTTGACTATCTTGTTGATCAGCAGTTTTGTCAGTACTTTTCATTTAACGACACTAAAAATTCACTGATGTGTAGACTTGCTTCTGAGGAATAAATCATCCATTTTGAGCAGATTAACAAATAGGTTTTGTAGTTTGAATGTATTGCTTTAAAAACTGCATTAACGGGTATGTAAATATAAACAGTGATTTGAAAAATGAACCAATAGCGACAGAGAAAAGCTAGAACAAAAAGTTTAGCTCCAGCTGAATAAAGTAACGGCAGATCATGATGTTGCCATTATGTTCTATGGGGTACGTTGTTCTTTTGATGAAGATTAATGTAGGTTCCATGCCAAACATACCTTTTGGAAATGATGGAATGAAATTACATCATATTTGTTTTTAATCAGATCATGACATATTGTCCTTGTTTATAGAGATTTTAGCCAAGCCTAATTTTCTTTGGCTTCTGTCCTGCAGGTTCATTGCTAATTGGAATAAGGGAGACAACAGTTTTCACTTCTAGAGCACAAACTGTATATTTTTAGAAGCACTTTTTTATTCTCCTGAGTTAAGATGACCTCCCAGTCACCTTTTATATCAGAACAACTTTAATGAAACCTTTAGTTTTTGTCATTTTGGGAGTTCTTTTTTTTTATTTATTATACAAATATTTACTCCAACTATATCTCTTTTAACTAGCCTGACATAGTCCGACTCAATTCTAGTCAGAATATGAGTCTGATACTGCTCCATAGAGCTGTGATTATGGGGCGTGTTTTGAACGGACCAGGAAAAAAAATGCCTCTGCACTCAATTGGACAGACCTACAACCAATAAGAGCAACGGAGTGCGTGACGTATGTTAAGCGAGGCATAGTTGTTGTCCACAAAAATCAAAGCGTGCAATTGCACACCTATAATAAGAAGATGAGCCTTGATCGCGTTTCTCTGCTCCTCTTTTAAAATTAATTTGCTGTCGATATCTTCTAGAACAGACCTAATAGCAGAATCTACTCACCCAAACTCTCCAGCGGCAGCCATTATTGTTGTCACCCAAGCGCGCTTTGGTCACGTGGTTGATAACGTTACTCTTGATCATCTGTCCATCATCGTATAAAGCCCGCCCTGACAATTTGATTGGATCGCCTGACAGTGGGCGATAATACTCGCGCTACTATGGAGCAGAGCCAGACCGAACTTCCCCGAACTCAAACCTTGTGGGCGGGACTAAGTTCGGACTGGCACCCAGGCTATCTTTTAACACCTCCATGGAACAATTTTGAACCTTAATAAGCTCTCTGAAAATTTTGATCCCTTAGGCTAAATGAGATTGATCAAATTCACTAGAATGCAAAAAAAAAATAAAAATGACAAACTTCTTTTATATTTTACAAAAAATATAAAATGTAAATTTAAAATGTCATCTTATGTAGAAACCATCCTCAAAACATTTTGGGGGAAATTTTGTAGATGTGTGTAGAGTATTAAGAGTCACTGGATTCAAACCAGAGTTTACTGAAATTCAAACAACACATAAACACATGGATTGGAAGTGTTAATATCATACAGAATATAATTATATTCCTTTAAATGCTCTCATTCGAATCGTTCCTTTGATGCATTTAATGCCCTGGACAAAATACTAAATTTTCCTGTTTTTGACCTTCAATCACTAATCAGAGATGATTCCTGGCAAACTGTTAGGAGCATCTCTGGAACTTATGTCTGGATGATTTCAGGATTACAAAATGGAAACAAAAAACATGGGCTGCACGGTGTCGTAGTGGTTAGCACTGTTGCCTTACAGCAAGAAGGTTTTCTGGGTTACTTCTTGACCACGGAATCGTTCTGCATGGATTTTGCATGTTCTCCCTGTGTATGCGTGGGTTCTCTCAGGGTACTACGGCTTCCTCCCGCAGTCCAAAAACATGAATGTTACGTTAATAATCCTTAGTTGTGTGTCTTTGTTTGTCTCTGTGTTTCCCTGCTACAGACAGGCAACATGTTCAAGGTGTACCATGCCTCTCGTCCATTGACTGACGGAGATGCGTAGCGGCCCCAACATGACCCTTACAAGGACTAAGCAGGAGAATATGGATGGAACAAAAACATAACCAGTCCTTATTCTTAGAACGCCCATAAACACTTTCATTAACTTGGGACAAAACACCCAAAGATAAAGAATTAAGATAAAGAAAAAATGGAAATGGAAATTCATCTGTCAGATATTTGTACCTTTATTGAAGATATAACATATGATTTTTAAAACTATGTTCAAGCTATAGTAACCATTTAATAAAATCATACCGATTGATTGGTTCAAAGATTTTCATCCAATTGATTGCATCAAGTCACTGACTTTGCAGTATTCACTCCTCCTGAATGAGCATCTAGCAACAACAGACAGTTGCTTGCATTGGGAAGTTGACTCTACAGCAATCCCTCACACCAAACATGCATGAAGTAAGAGCAGAGTAAGCTTAGTTCTCCCGAGGCCAACTGAGGTTCAGTAAAAGTGCTTCATGCAAAAGAAGTATAAAAAGCGAGATGTAAGGATGACAAGTGCAATTAAATACGCTGGATTTTTGATTTATTCCAATCAACACGCAAGTATTTGGATCCTTTATCTCTTTGGCCTGTATAGTTTGTCAAAGACGCACAAACCTACATATATATGAGACAGCTTAACTCATATCAACCCCCCCTCCCCACCATTAAAGTACTGAAAGAGAAATGCATAAACACAGACTGTACTCTGGCCAACTCTGGTAAAGCACACTCAGCAGGGTGAACTATGTAACCTCCATCACATCCCCTGTCTCTCAATTACTACTGTTGGACACCAGTGAGCGTGAGCACCTCTGTGCATTATTATATTCTGAGTGTAAAACACAGGGGCCCTGAAGGCTTTCAAAGGAACGCTGCTCTCAATAGGACCTGTAGGGTTAATGGGCTGTGTGTGTGTTTGTGGTTGGGGGGGTTTGGCGTCTGGTGGCGTGACACGGGGATAGACAAATATCAGCAGTGCAATTACACCCCTGATACGTTCGCTGGCAGCACCTGTGCCAGCCTCCCATCCATCCCTCCAATGCAGAGCCGGGGCTCTCTGATTGGCCCCTGGGGAACGTGTGCATGTGTGTGAGGTGAAGTGTCAATTAGAGTAATAACCCCAGGCCCTGTCCAGCTCACACCTACCCTCCCCTCTTAGATCTCCCACCGGGCAGCAAGGCTTCCTCCATCAGCAAGCACCTGCTCCTTTTCCTTGATACTTGTTCTTTACTTCGCCTACAATTACTTGGCTGGTAGTGGGCTGGCTGTAATTAGTCTCTCCCCTTGTGTGCCCCACTGTATTATGATTTAGGCAGAAAACAGGCTGGTTTTCTTTCTATAAATACATTCATATCAAACTGCAAAAGTTATCTAGCAAATCCAAAATGCTCCTCTCTGATATCGGTCTGTGGATTTTATTTTTTTCTTCTTGGCATTTCTCTCTCCATGGGGATTTACCAGACCCGCGCAAGAACAGGGTTACAGGTACAGCGTGGGACTTCATTCGGAAAGTTGCATGATATCCAAAGTTTTCTGTTGTTTTTGTCTTTGCAGGAGAAAAGCTCACAGTGCAGTCCTCTAAATCAAAAACTAATCATATTTATTCCCTGTGCCCTCTCTGCATACAACTAATGAAAAGCTCACAGTCAGCACCGCTCATTATCATGATTAGAACCCTTAGCTTACTTTTGTAGAGGCGAAATCTGGAATAATAAACAGGCTCTATGCAAATTCACTCTTTTGATTTATAATGTATGGCACCCAAGGGGGATGAGGGCATTGCTCAGGTGTGTCACCGCTCTGATTACTGATTCATAACACTACTGCAGGAACACACACACACACACACTTTCTAAACAAGCACACCGTAGCAGAAGGTGGGGGAATTGAGGAGACAATCAAATACATCTGTCCTTCCCACCCCTCCCCTCCGCCATCTTCTCCACCCCCAGTGGAAATTGAGCACTTCAGTGAGGACTATTGATTGGAGATGCGAGAGCTTGGTGGCAGGCAGCAGATGAGGCCAGGCCGATGCAGGGGCTGCCCCTGCGGTGTGACGGTGGGGGCTGCGACATGGATGGGGAAGGGACTCCTGGGACAGGAGCTGACGGTGGGTGGTGAGAAAGTGGGACGTGTTAATCTCGGGGTAGAAGCTCTCAGAAATACAGGGCCACATGGCTGCTCACCCTTTGTATATCACCCTGAACAGATGACCTACGCTGGGTTCCTCAGGATCGGGCTGCAGTTACCATCAGAACACAAAAGCAACAACAAAAGCTCTAAATTATCTTCTGAATTACTACAAATCATAAGGAGACATACTTTTAGTTATCTGGGCTTGATTGGGGGCTTTGTTTGTGTGTGTTCTTTGCTGCATCACACCCTGTGAGGGTAGTGAAGGTATGTGTGCAGACAGGTCCTACATCATCTTAAGTGGCTCTTTAGGTGGTGACAGAGATTAATGATGGCCAGGCAGCTAGTCCAGCTGGGGGACCTTAAAGGACACGGACAAAACACACACACACACACACACACACACACACACACACACACACACACACACACACACACACACACACACACACACACACACACACACAGGATTAAACAGGGAGGTCCCCATGGAAGCAGAGGAACAAGATGAGCAAAACTATTCAGCTCACAACTTCAATCACAGTTAATAGTAATGATTACTCAGAGTCTAAGGATAAGATTTTATTTTTTATTTATTTTTTGCATTGTAATTTTTCTTAATGTAAATTTTTACACTACAGATATTTTAATATCAGCTTTAAACGTTTAAATCTTTTCAATCAAATGAATGTCATGTAAAGCAGGAAGCAGATGTTTACATACACTAAAACAAGATGGATATCTTTTTTTTTTCCTTCTGTGTGTAATTAAATCAGTCAAAACTCTTCTCGCCAGAATAATGAAGGACTATTGATTTTTTTACTATAATAGTTCTTATTTACAACAGAAGTTTACATGCATGAAGGTTAATGCTCATTTAAATAAACTGAAAAAGCCCAGAAAGGGGCTCATATCTTTCTAAGCAGCTGATAGGTTGTTTGAGTTTATTGGAGGCAAATTTGTGAATAATTCTTTGTTTGAAATCATGTTAGATTCAAGACATTCCTTAAAGTTTAAGTCCATCTGTTCATATGCATGTATATGAACAGAGTGTCTGTATCTGGATATTACTCCTGCAGTACATTAAAAAGGTCATGAGACCTTCTAAATGCAAAAGAGGACGTTATGATTTTTGAAAAAGTGATTTATTAAAGCTAATATTGAAGGTTTGGCCATAATAATAAAAGGAATAAAAGGAAAAGGGGGGAAGTCATGCTAGACACAACAACTAAACTACGAAGAGTGCAGCATCGTGCAGTGTGGGTGCTTTATGGATATATTGAAGCAAGTCAGAAAGAGGGACAACTAACGATTATTTTGCAAATTGATTAATATGTCAATTGTTTTCAATGAATCAATTAAAAATCAGATAGCAAATAAAGAAGACTTTTATTAAACCAGGTGAAACTAAAACTTTTCAACTTGAGGAGTTCTGGATAGAGAATATTGACAGACGAAAAAGTTTTTTTTTTTTTTTTTATCTTAAACGCAAGATGTTTACATATTTTTATTTATTTTTTTTACAATTTTGGTATAACATCTGCTCTAAATGGATTGTTCTGTCAGCTAAAGGCAAGGTTTAGAACAGGCATCCCCAAACTCGGTCCTCAAGGCCCGCTGTCCTGCAGGTTTTAGAGCAGGGGTGTCAAACCGGTTCCAGAAAGGGCCGTGTGGCTGCAGGTTTTCTTTTCAACCAAACAATTGCACACCAGACTCCAGTCATCTCATCAAGTCATCATGTTCAGATTGGACTCACTTGATGAGTTGAATGGAGTCTGCTGTGCCATAGCTTGGTAGGAAAGAAAACCTGCAGCCACACGGCCCTTTCTGGAACCGGTTTGACACCCCTGTTTTAGAGGTTTCCTTGCTCCAGCACAGCTGATTTTAATTGAAAGCTGATTAACAGGCTTTTGGTCTACTGCAATCATTATAACCAGCTGTGCTAAAGCAGGGAAACCTCTGAAACCTGCAGGACAGGGGGCCTTGAGGACCGAGTTTGGGGATGCCTGGTTTAGAGTCTCTACACCCCAGTTAACAAGTAATCGATTACTAAATTAGTTGATGGTTATTTAAATAATTGATTAATCATGATTAATCTGATTAATTGTTTCAGCTCCAGTCAGAAAATCAAATTGTTTTTAAATAGGGAAAATTTTATCTTTCAAAAGCAAAATAACTAAGATTTTAGAAATTTTGGAGAATTTCAATGAAAATGCAGCAAAATCCTATAGCAACCAATATAGTTTCTCCATCACTGTTTAGTTTTTACTTAACTTATTTCACAAAAGTCATTAAAGAAGCTGACAATAGCAGAGTAATTTTAATGTTTTGTTGATTTTTATAATGTATCCAAATCAATTTTACAACTGTAGGAAAGGCTACACAAAGGTTTGATGAAGTGGAATTAAAGTGTATAAGTATTGCACATAAGCAACAAGTATAAAGAGGAAATGGGAATTAAAAGTGTGACCTTGGAGACAAACATATGACCTCTTGTGGGAGAAGTAAAAAAAAAAAAAAAAAGCAAAGTGTGTTAGTGTTTCTGCGAGCAATCAGCAAATCCCTGCTTATTGATTGAATCTTGCCTTTTTATTTTCATTCTTCCAAGTGAATAGCAAGGGTAAAGGATTGGCAAATGAAAAACAACATTAATGTTTTATCATCCAATCTCACTCCAGAACTGAAAAGACTTTGAGTTGGAAGCAAATGGTTGGGGTTGGGTGGGGTGGGGTGGGGTGGGGGCGTTATAAGGCCACAGTCAGAATGGGAAAAAGCAGAGAGAGCGTTAGAAGAGAGAAAAGAAAGGTCAGTTTAGGAGGCTTTTTTATGCCAGGAGGGAGCCAGAAAGATAAAAAGAATATTCTCCTATAAAAGTTCGATCTTATATTAGGCAAAGTAGTATGCTGACCCCCCCCCCTCCAAAAAAAAAAAAAGAGATTACATATAAAGCCTGAATTAAAAAGAAAAATTCTCGTTAATCTTTGCCTCCTTATTTAGCAATTGTATCAGTCATGACCTCTGGCAGCACAAAACATATAAAGCACCGCTTGCTCTCAATTCAGACCTGAGCAATTCATCTTGCAGTTTTAACTTGCATGCAGCCCAGCAGAGGAGGGCTGGTGGCCAGAGAACGATCTTTAAAGCTGTTTGCAATCACAAAGAAGAGGGTGTAATCACGCGCCCTCCAGCTGAGTGGATCAATCTGCCACCTTCTTTTTTATGCAACTGAATCTCCATTGATCTAACACACATTCTCCAGAGCAGCCCAAGAACATTTCCACTCCTAACGCCTTTTATCTCTTCTATCCTCCTCTCTTTTCTAAGCTCTTCAACAACATGTTTAAACATTGACCACTAACCTGAGTGGGTACTTCTCCCCAGGATCCCGGCCAAGATGGAAGATGATTGGTTGAAGTGTGTGTTCTTTCTGCTCATGAGTTGTCACACCGGGAACCTCTTGACCAGGACAAAAATTCACACCCTGCACAAAAGAGAGAAAGGGAATTATATATAAATAAACAAAAGTGGAAACTAAAATTGTTAGAATGAGATTAAAACTCAAACAGAATGGTGGGGCCATTTTGACCCAAAGAAGAAAATGTAGTTAATCGAAACTAAATAGTATCAAAAATAACTAAAAAAAATGCATGTTTTAATAGTATAATGCGGGCTAATTCGATAGTGAGTAAACTTATGCACTACACATACCATTATTATAGATGCTTATCCAGCTGTTCCTGGCTCTTTATAGACTTAAAGCTACAGTGTGTAATTTTTAGCGACATCTAACGTCCAGACTGCAGACCGCAGCAACATGAACATCTCCCCCCCACAGCTTCTCCCCCCCAACAGTACGGCGAGCGTTACGGGACAAAATGTCTTCCACAACGTCCGCATCACCTACCTTCTCAAGTGATGAGGTTTGTTTACATAGATAATTTTACAGATAGTATTCTCAGGCATAATACTGCCATCTATGGTTCAGTACCGTCTCAGTTCATCTCTCTCAACTTGCCGTAGTTACTTTCGAGCGTAATGGGCGATCTCGCAATCAATAGTTTGTTGGCTCTGCGCTGCCGTAGCACAAAGATGTCTGCCTCCATGGCTGCGAGACCCGCTCCTATGTAATTATAAATAACGAATTCTAAGGCAACGCAAATATTAAGGTTTAGAGGCTGAGCTCATAGGTGATGATACATAACATAGTTATGTATAATATATTACATTTCTGACTGTATATCCCTGTAATTATTACACACTGTAGCTTTAAGACAAACTTTATTGCAATTTTGTATACACAGACTGTATACAAAATTGTGTATACATAGATAGGTTTGCAACTATCAGATTTTGGTTGATTGTTGGTTTTTATTTCCCAGAAAAATGTAATAAAATGGCCCTGAAAAAAATTAGTCCTTGGTTTGTTCATACAGAGGGCAGCTTTGAATCCCACAGAAAATAAAGGAAACACCAGAACGCTGCTTTTCATGCATCAAATGTCCATACATTTTTTTTGAGAAGCTTAAAGTAGAAAGAAAGTCTGTGTTTAACATAAGAAAAATGTGATTTTCTATTTTTTCATAAACCTTTAATTCATCCAATAAGGAAAAAAAAAATTTTTGACCTCCTATCTCTCAATAAGGTTATAAAAGTAACATTTTTAGAACTTTGGTCTGATTGCTCAGAATATAATCCAGGTAACATACATATTAACACCTGCTGTTTGTTATAATCCACTGTAAAAGTCACAGTTATAACTGGTAAAATAAGAGTAAGAATAGACAGGAATATCTATGAGTTCTCCAAAACAGATAAATGATCATAGAATATTTGTCAGAAAACAGCAGATCTGCCCACTTTTGGCTGGAAAATGGTTGCAAAGGTGAGTCTGTCTCCTTGTAGTCTCTCAGAAGACAGAGAGCTGATTTTTTTTTTCCTATGCTCCATGCAACCTGAACTTTAGAAATTCGAGATCAAACTTCAAACTAACTTCTATTTGGTGCTTTGTTTTTGATTATTTAAGGTATTTCCCATAAATGACTTTTCTCTGAAATTCATAGCAAACTCCAAAGCACTCTTTTGCAAACATCAGGGAGTTTTCCTTCCAGCCACCTGCTACCCTGAGCTGATTACTCATTGTTACACTGTCTATATGCAATATTGTCCTCCAATCTGTTGTGTTATTCATGGAGCGACTGCTGGCGCATCACAATGGAGGGTTTTGGAGCCTTGGAAACAGAAGACTTTTTCCTGCCTTCTCTTCATCTCCGTGCTCCTGCTCCCCGACTCCATTCTCAGGAGGCTGGCAGCCTGATTGAGTCACACTCTCTCCTGCAGAAGCCCCCTAGAGAGCTGCCCCCCTGCCTGAATGCACGCACAAAAAAAACACACACTTTCTGATGAGCAGGGCTAATATTGAAAAAAGCATTCATCTGTAAGGCGCAGTGGCTGCCCCCCCTCTGGGATCACTCATCAGAGACCCTCAAAATACAGAGAGAACAGAGAGGAGCAGAAGCGAGCACTGATACCCCAACCACCCACCCACACATATCAGCCTCTACTCATTCAGACCTGTCCCTTTTTTTGAAAGCAACTGTTCATAAATGCAGAGAAAAGTAAAAACAGAATGTCATCCCAGAGGAGCAGTGTGAAAAGCTGTCTCTGTGTATGTGTCTGACTCCGTCGCTTGTGCCAAAGATATTACAGCAAGAGCTCCATATCTCACATAACATTAGGAGCACAGATACAGCAAGGCTACTACCAAACCGAGGAACAGCAGTTGTGACAAGATAAGATGCAGAACTATTCTGGGGGTGGGCGGGAGGGTATTTTTGGGGCAGTAGAGCAACATTTCAGGTGTTTCACAGAGAATCATTCTTATGAAGCAAAATGATCAATAATAAAAAATAAAGTTTTTGTTTGTTTAATACAATTTCGAGCTTCTCATAAAGTATCTAAATCATCAACTTGTTGAAATGAATCAGAATCTTGGTCTCTGGTTGTCAACAAGAAGATTCTTGGCATGATTTAAGCAGTAGATGTCCTATTAACAGAACAGGTCGTTATTCATTCAGTCCATAAATTACCAAATGAGCCGAGGCCTAGTAGCCTGATTGAAAAAAAAAAGAAAACAAAACAGGGAAATTACAGAAACCAAGTTCTATTCTCCTGCCCAGCAGCTCATCTCTGATTGTTTAGTAAGCAGCATAATTGCCTAATTTTACTCAGATCTGACACTGTGTTTATACTGTGTAACATTTTATGGCAATGCAGGGAAAATGTACTAGCAATAATTTTTACTAACACCTGTTGTGTATATTAGTGGCTTAGAGGAGGTTTTAGAAACACCCCGTAGAGAAAAAAAAGGAACCAGCCTGGGAACCACTTTCTGAACATCAGACCCGGTAGCTGTTCGTGATAAAGACCTTAAAGTGATCGAATAGAGACCAGAAAGCTGGAGAGAAGAATATCTAAAACATCCCAACTTCATGAACACCCAAATGTATTTTTTATTTTATTTTATTTTTCATTTCAAGGGGGGACATGGGAAGAAAATATACCAAGCAAGGAACCCAGGAGGAACCTCGATTTATTGGATGTAGAGGATTGGCATACCCACTAAATGACTAAAGGTCCACACAATTTAATCAGACTCACCTAAAAAAAATTAACCTATTTCTGATGCTCAAATCCAGGATTTTTTCTTACGATCATGATGCAAATCTCATAAACAAAGGTCAAGGTATAAGTGTGGGAACATGTAAACAACACAATAGCTTCAATCAAAGCATACTTATGTGACCACCTAGGAAGCAACACTGATTGACAATCAATTTCACATGCTGTTGTGCAAATGGAATAGACCAATTATTGGCAATTAGCAAGACACACTCCTCAGAGGATTGCTTATGCAGGTGGGGACCACAGACCATTTCTTAGTAGCTTTGATTTTTGGCTGATGTTTTAGACACTTGAATGTTGGTGGTGCTTTCACATTCGTGGTACCATGAGAGGGACTCTACAACCCACACGAGTGCCTCAGGTAGTGCAGCTCATCCAGGATGGCATATCAATGGGAGCTGTGGCAGAAAGGTTTTCTGTCTGTAAGCGTGCTGTCCAGAGGCTGGAGTCAATACAAGGAGACTTGGAGGAGGCCATAGGAGGGCAACAACCCAGCAGCAGGACTGCTACCTCTGCCTTTGTGCAACTGTCAGAGCTCTGCAAAATGACCTCCAGCAGGCCAAAAATGTGACAATTTTTTTCACAAACATTTAGAAACTAACTCAATGAGGATGGTATGAGAGTCTGACATCCACAGATGGGTGTTGTGCTCACAGCCACACACCATGTAGGATGCTAGGCATTTGCCAGAGAACACCAGGATTGGCAAATTAACCATTGGCACCCTGTGCTTTTCACAGATGAAAGCAGGTTTACAATGAGCACATGTCACAGACAGGACAGAGTCTGCAGACACAACGGAGAGCGATCTGCTGCCTGCACCATCCGCCAGCATGACCGGTTTGGCAATGGTGTGGGGTGGCATTTCTTAGTAACACTACACAGCCCTCCATGTGCTCGCCAAAGGTATCATGACTGCCATGCAATACTGAGATGAGATCTTTAGACCCATAGTGAGATCATATGCTGGTGTGGTTGGCCCAAGATCCTCCTATTGCAGTTCATGCAAAGTGAAGGCATTGAAAGTATGAACTGGCCCGTCCGTTCCCCAGAACTCAGTCTGATCAAGCAGATCTGGGACATTATGTCTCAAACTATCCGCTGTCATGTTGCACCACAGACCGTCCAGGGGTTGGAGGATGCTTTAGTCCAGGTCTGGCGGTAGATCCCTCAGGACATAATCTGTCACCTCATCAGAAGCATGTCCTGTCATTGTAGGGAGGCCAATACTGAGCCTCTTTTTGACCTGGTTTCTGAGCTATATATATATATATATATAAAGAAATAAATATAAAAAACAAGGTATTTTCTGTCAACTCGCAGGAACAACAGCTGCGGTAAGAATGCGCTTCTATGTAAGGCATTTCTAAATGGATTGATGGATGTGTGAGAAATATTTATTTTTAGTCAATACACAAACACAGAGTTTAAAAATCCAACCATTATTACAAGAAAGCAAAGTGGAGATTTAACCTTTTTGCCGAAAAAAAAAAAAAAACTTGCCCGCTGACGCACAAACAGACGTTCATGTCTGCATGAGCGGCCAAATGTCTCTGTGCATTTTTTCTACAATGCTTTTTTTTTTTCCCCTTTCTCTCCCTCCCGCATTCATACGCACAGCAAATCGATTGGCAACTCACAGGCAATCAGACGCCATTATTTGTAAAGTTCCACTTCAGTTCACTTGAGTTGATAAAGGAGGCTGCTATTGATTCAGCGGCCCTGAAGGAGAGAGCAATTTAAGCGACCGATGGGGCATAAAACAAACTGGATAGCAGGAAAAGTATAGACTGGGGGGGGCAGGAGGACGTGTTTTTAAGGACAGAGAGGAGAGATAGTTGCAAAGGCATCATATTCTTCTGCTTCTAGGGTGGTAGATTTTCTGTTTCTCCGGATATGTTTCATCAACACTGTGTGAGATGGTGGAAGAGCAAGCAGGGAATGGTGGTATGTAAATCTACACCTGAGATTAAACAAACAAGTCAACTGGTTGATGAACGATGCCAGTTGACACATATGGGGGGCTCCTTATTAATATTCATTCCTCTCTGATGTACACAGCAGTCAATTGATGAGCCATTGTTGAGATAAGATGAGCAACAAGGAAAAGTGTTGGTGTGTCTCGGCAAGATTAGGAGCAGCGGAAATGTGCAGAGTAAATGAAGAAGCTGGGAAACAGAGAAGGGACACAGCTCACTGAAAGAGGAGCTCACCTTGTGGAACTCCTCCCACGAGTTGCTCCAGGTCCAGTAGTGCGCTTTGTATTGTCCGAGCCTCACAGCCATCATCTCGTTCCCACGGTAAAAGAAAATGGGTCTGCGGACAAGGGAAGAGTTACATACAGAGCTCAGGTTTATACCTTTAAACTCCATTTGTCCTTTTGGTATAGTTCCACCTATTTTGTTTACGCCTCTAAATAATGACTCAAATGCTTATAATTGTTCTTTTATTGTGTAAAAACACAAAATATATTTTTATATAAATCTTTTTCGAAATCAAGGAGAGTTTCATAAATAATCCTAAACCAAAAGAGTAAATCATTCTTGTCACGACAGGCAGACATCTGTGCAAAAAGAAGCTGCAGAGCATTGCAAAGTGCTTTCCTCTTGCATTTTACCAATTGTGGGTCTAAATTCACAAACACATATATGACTTATACATATCATCTTTATGTACCTATTGATTAGAATGTACAGAAATTAATGTTTATCTTTATATAGACTTATAGTTAATTAATTGATGAGTGGATTTTCTAGAACCATTTTTCTTTAGATATCACAGAACAGAGGAGATCAACATCTGCGGAGCCAACTGGGAGAGTTCAGGGCCAGTATCTATCAAGCATCTACAAGTGCCATTCTAGTCCCAAGTGTTAAGAAGTTATGGTATTTACTCCTACTGTCAAATTTAAGAATAAAAGCTAAATATTAACTTTCTCCAGTCTAAGAATCACCTCCACTCCCCCAAATATTTAAGAGACCTCCAGGGGTGTCTTAGGTGGGTAGGAGAGGATGGCAATGAGGCAACAGGGACGTTCGGGAGCTGAAGGCGTGTTAGCTCTGGCAACACACAGCTGATCATCCCATATTGTTTGGACAGAGCGGCTATAATTTGTGTTAAGGACTTAATGTGGGACGTAATTTCTCCACTAACCACCTTCTGGGCTTCATGGTGGAATTATAAGCGCTTTTTGCTCTAACAGGAATGGATCGTGATTTGCATTTCCATCACAGTTTTTTATAATATAACACCTGATAACATCAGTAAGAATAAATACAGCTGGTGGCATCACTTAAGCGTGGCCAATAAGATTGTCCCGTAGCCATTCATTAATAAAGCCTGGACATGACATAACCAAATTATGGTTGTTTTTACCAAATGTATGGAAAAGAAATAAATAACTCGTAGCTAGTCAGTACAAACATATCTAGATGTTGTCCAAAATGAACTCCTTTAAGCCAATTTTGGGTTTTTGTTTTATTTTTTTATAGTCCTGTATGTGACTGGTAAAACTTCCCTAATCACTCAGATTAGAAAGTGAATTAATTGAGCCTTAAATGAGCCTCCTAATTAACAAGAATAAGCATGTCCGTTCCCCCCAAACACTGTGTAAATGCCAAAAAGGTGTTTTTTTGTATTCTTTTGTCTGTGTACATCAAAAGCCATCAAAAGCTTTCTCATAAGATAATCAGAACTTTTAAATGATATTAAGAGATATTTTTTTATATTTGGGTGTTTTTCGAAAGGTCTACCAGATTTTATAGCAGTATTTAGGCTGTGCAGTCCTGGAAATAATGCTGGGCCATCAAACCATCCATAAACAGCTCCATTAAGCATTGGCCAAAAAAACAGACTTAGAAGTGACATGATGTAAAATTCCTTTTACGGCACCAGGCGTTTTAACCGTTTTAACACTTTCCCAGAGTCACACTGAAGATTTTGTAACACACTTTGCTAAAGGTGTGATATGTATACAGGAATGAACAACTCTAATTTAACGCTTTTTAATGCAGTTTTAATGCTCTTAAAAATAGTTTTAATGCAACAAGTATCCATGAGTCATATATACACAGCAAATTCCTTCTTCATCTTTACTGTCGGCAGGCTGCAATTCCTCGATTTCCAGCAACTTTTGTTGAAATTAGCATTTTCCCCATTCTACAGCTTTTTCTCCGCCTTGAGCTTCTTTTCGATAATCTGGGTTTTATTTTATTTTCCGCAAATATATCGCAATATTTTTGCATATTTGCAAATATATATGTAATTTAAGAAATTGTTTTTATAAACATTTTTTTTTAAATAAAGCATTTTAAATGCCAAAATAATCACATTTAAAGAATTTTAATGCCAATTCAGGCCTTAATTAAAAAATTTATTATTTAATGACTTTTAATGATTTTTAATGACCCGCGGAAACCCTGTTTAAGTCCATCTTTTAACGCAGAAATGTTTTGCCTATCATTCCACTCTTAAAGGCATAGTGGAAGATCTTAGAGAATTTTAGAAAAGACCTGCCCTCTGCACTTCGGGAGCATGGGGGTACCTGTGCGGGAGCATGCACAAGACAATTTCTCCTCGTGCACGCTCTGTTTAACAGTTGCTGTTTGCATCGCTCATACAAGCTTTTGCAATTTTTCCACTATGTCAGACTCACCACTGGTAAGTGAAAATGGGGACGAGCACGTAGGACGGCCTTAAGTTAATCCCCAGAACGACAAACAATTAGGAGGACCACTTATTTTGATGATCTACTCGGTAAAAGAACATTCTCCACTATATCTTTAAGAGTGATCTTTCGTTTATTAAAAATGGCCCCTGATGTGTAACAGAAATAACTCATCCTCTAAGGCAGATGAAACCAGAGAGAAGTAAATGAAAAAATAAGAGAAGAGTTTTTAATTCACCTGTCGAGTTTGTGGGAGACATTTAATAAAACTGGTGTCAGGTCTAGTCCGTCCAGCATTCGGTCATCTGGAGGGCTGATGCCAGCCAGGGCCAGACTGGTGGTGAACAGATCCATGATGTTAGCAGGCTGGAGACTCACCTGCATCAGGATGAAGGGAGAAGAAATCAGATCAGTGTTAAAAAAGAGAAACTGATCAGGTGTTTCCTTGGAAAAACAAATCTCCAAATGGTAAAAAGGTCAGACCTGATTTTGGTGAGCAATTTTTTCTCTGTGGATTTTAAAAGATAAAAACCCCAAACATTATCCAACTGATTTGACAGATGCAGCAGTTTCAAATCAAACAAACAACGGATCTTTAGATGCATTAAAAAAACAAAAGTGCCAAGAGATCTTAGTTCCAATAGATTTCATTAAATTGTCTCTTTGTTTTGTTTTTTCAGGATTTGATCTTCTGGTCACTAATTGAAGCAAATTAGGGACAAACTGTCTGATTTTTAATGTGTGGCTGGTATTAGACTGGTCCACAAAAAGACAAGAAATCACTATTTCTTCACTTTACAATTCTTTAAATTCTTTAATTCAAAAAATTCTTTTAGATATATGAATGTACACAGACAACCTCATGCACATTACTGTGTTATTCTGTTTATTTTGTGCAAAGGATTTCATAATTTGACACTTGTTGACTTGACTCAGGAATCAAAAAGAAAAAGTGGAAACATTTTATTAATAGCGATGATAGGATGCTTGCATAGAAGAAACCTATTCCTCTAGTTTCCTTTCTGATCTCTCCATGCTGGCTTACTATCAAAACTCAAAAAAGCCTTTCCTCCCATAAATGAGTTTTTTGGAAATGGATGGGGAAAAAAAGGGAAAAGGGAGAGGAAGCATGGGATGGGACACGGCCTGGGCGAGCAGGCTGTTAAAGCTGCTGTTTTATCTCCTTCTTCCAGTCGCTGTGAAAAGCTTTATTTTATTTATAAACTTTGAACTATTTTCAGATAAAATGCCATTTTTTCGCTGTCATCCTTGATCTTCCGTTCCATTCTCTCCTGAGCGAGCCTTAGAGGGAGACGGCACGCTCACGATCAGATAGTGCTATCAGGCCCGTGCAGCTGCAGCGTCATGTGCCGCCGCGCTCCTATCGGCACCCGGCATGCATGCAGACGCACACGCATTCCCCCGCGTGCTCGTGTCTGCTCCTAAGCACTGACATGAATTCCTCTTTTCTTCTGGAGCCACAGAAGTAGCCACAGAAAAGGTTTTGCAGCGAGTTCCATGATCTATCTGCACATCCAGAAACTCTCTCTGAAAAGCACAAACACCAACAGATTCAGCTCCTTACTTCATTTTTCTTTCTCTCAGCTCCTCTTAGAAATATCTAGCATTAAAGAAAAAAGGAGAAATGTGAAAAGGAAGAAACAGCACTGGAAATTGGTTGGGTAACAACTCGCATGACAAAAATGTTAATTTGTCTGGGTCTGTCGTGCCATTTTTTCCTTCATAAGTCCTTTTTCACCCCGTTTTGTTCAAATCTTTCTAAACCCACACCTTCTCATGACGTCCTTTATTTCTCTGCAGTAACCTTGTTTATCCGAGGATGAGGCGCCTTTATCCCCATCTCCACCATCATAAGGATGTGTGTCTGAAGCTGATAAACCAACAAAAGGGACTGGGATGCTTCCTGATGTTGCGGCGGCTAAAAGCCCACCCACTTCTCTGTTCATACAGACACCCCCAGTGATCATCATCATCCTCCTCCTCATAGACCAGGAGGATGCTCTATCTGCATCCGTTTGGACACCGACCATGCTCCCTCATTCCAATACACCCCCAGCAAAGTTCCTGCACACTAACTGATACATTTTTGTTTTGTTTTTTGACAAGTGAAGCTGAAATCTGTGTTCCTAAAACAACAATAAACCTGTTGAAAATCCCCTTTTATTAAAGGTTTTCTTACATGCCTCCTGCATGTAGCTGTTAAAGCCTCCATAAACCAGAGATCAGCAGAAATTTCAATAGAGTCCAGAATATGAATTTAGGCCAGCCTTGTGTCTTGTTTGTCCTCCCTCCCAAGCAGCAACAATGGAACAACAATAAATCCAAATCTGTGGAGTTCAGAAGCTCCAAGAAAGCATGTTTATCACTAAAGCCAAGTGAAGCTTCAATACAACTCTTTAAAACTCACATATATCCACATATAGAAGCACACACGTTTGTTTCTGCATAAATAGAAGGATTTATTAAGTTATCTATTAAGCAAAAAGCTTATCAATTATAAAAACCTCACAGGGGCAGGAAAGTATTGCAATATGCTCTATATTTACCATTGCTCTTTCTCTTTTCATCAGCACCTACCTATTTTACTTCTCCCCTTGCTTCCTTTCCTAAACTCCTCCCCCACCCCCTCTGTTTCTTTATCCTGAACGCCTGGCATATTCAGATACTGAAGTCCTCATTACGGCTCAATCCAACCTCAGCAAACACACAAACAGATTAGCCGCTTAAGACGCTCCCAATCCTCCTCTCTCTCGCTACTCCGCTGCGCTATCAGAGCCCAGCACAACCCTGTGAGATGAGCCAGGGGCAAGGCTTACTGCAGACTGCAGCCTCCGCTCACTCCTCCACAAAATCCCTCTGCGTCACAGCCCCGTGTCACAGCTGCCCCTAATACAATTAAAAGTCATTTGCAGAACGCACAGGCTTAGGGGATCACACTGCGGGTGGGGCGGGGGGGTTATATTGAGGAATGGGAAGAAAAGAATAAAAGATGAGAGTGGGGGCATTTATTTCAGCTAGAAATATTTGAGGCAACAGTTAAGAAAAAAAAAGCTTTGTGGCTGAAATTGCAGTTTTGATAAAAGTAGTGCCAACTCAAAATGAACAGAGCTGGTGGATCAAAGTACGAACATGTAAATTCCTACATGATACAAAAATAAATCATAAGCACACAAAACCTGAGTTATTCAAAGAAAAAGATTATTGGAGTAATTAGTCATTCTCTTACTACCTGTCTCATAATTATCAGAACTGCCTGCAGCTCTACAGGGAAAACATCCGTCTCAAGCTCAAGATTTCATGGCACTGAGCCGCATTTTGGCAGAAGGATGAAGGTGGGCTTACTGTGCCTTCCTTGATGTGTCCGGGCCACCAGGCGATGGCGGGCTCCCTCATGCCCCCCTCATACGTGGTTTCCTTCCCACAGAGGAACGGCCCGTTGCTGCCACCTGAGGAATCAGAGCCATAAAACCAAATGAATCAATACATCCCATGGTGAAAAAAAGAAGAAATATAATTAAGCATAACTACTATATATATTTAAGAGTTAAAAAAAGTATGGAATACCTTCATGAGGGCTCGAGATAAGAGCCGCCCCGTTGTCTGATGTAAAGAAGACAAAGGTGTTTTTTTCAATGCCCAGACCATGAAGCAGGGACAGGATCTGACCCACGCTGTAGTCCAGCTCCATGACCGCATCTCCATAACTGAACAGCATAGATTTTTGACACATGCATTCACTTACCTAATGTAACTCTAGTAGGGTTGAATATTAATTAAATAGTCAGCAATAAGGGAGTTAAACCTCCCTAAACCAAGATCATGTGGATCTACTGATCTACTATCTACTACTAACCGGCCTCGCTGGCTCTTTCCTAGGAAGCTTTTGGAGGCGTAAACCGGGGCGTGGGTGGCATCAGGGGCCCAGTAGAGGAAGAAGGGCTGCTTGGCTTGAGTCTGCCGCCGTATGAAGTCCATACCCTCCTGCAGAGGTTGCAGATTTACTGTTACCAAACAAAGATCTAACAAAGATGTTGAAAAGTTTTCCTCTTTTTTTCAAAAGTTGTCTTAGCAAAGCTTTAGCATAGTTTTTAGATAATGGTTTTGTCAGTTAAACAATAAAATGCAAATATGTTTCTCAGTAGGATATTCTATATATATTTTTTTTATTTTGTTAGTTTTTACATCAATAGTGGCTCATTTTTTTGGAAAGTGGGCTGACAGTAAAGGGGGTACGAGAGAGGCGGGGAGAGACGCAGCATAGGACCACAGGTAGGATTCGAACCCGGGTCGGCCACATTGAGGACTAAGGCCTCCATACATGGGTGGTGTGTGCTTAGCACTCCGCAACCAAAGCACGCCCTGCATATTCTATTTTATATGAATATAAAATATTTACTCTGGTTTATTTTATACAAAAAGTATTTATTTTACAAGGCTTACATTAAAAAAAATTAAAGAGAAAAAATTAGACAGAAGCCATCAGATACCATTTTGTGGTACATTTGCAAAAAGAATTAGATTTAATATAAATAACTTTTGATCTTTTGGAGATGTGAGAAGAACAGACTAAAATCAGCAAAATAAAAACAGCTTATTTCTGAAAATTCAACCTGAAAGTTACTGTTTAACGTTGTTACTGTGGAATCTAATTAAAAGTATGTAAAAAGATTCTTCTAATTTTTAAAAACGAAACATTTTTCTTATGCTATTTTTATTCTATATCTGTCAAAACACATCTATTGGATAGCAAATTTAGTGTCCACCTAAGCAGATTATATTGCTATATACTGAACCTCCTTTTTGGTGTCATTTGACACCACTCCAGCTTCCAAAGACTTACTAAAATGAGCTTTAAGAAGCAGAGGCATCCTCCTAACGTGGAGATAAATTACATCTTTCAAGCCTGCAGTGTGCCTCAGCATGATGCTTTTGATCCTGTTTCAGGAATATAATAGGAGAGGCCGATGTAGATTCATTGCAATAGTGTGAAGAAGTCAATAATCCACCTCCACTGGTGAAAGATGTGCAACAATAAAAAATGCATTTTCTAATTTGTTACAGACAATTTATTTCTGTGCTTTCATGTCTCTCAGAAACAGCCCTCTGCCATGCTGTTTTATATTCCCTGAAAAGATGAAAACCAGGAGAGTTTTTTTTTCCCACCAAAAAGGCTCAGATGATCCGAGCCTGAATGGCTGCAAGATGAGTTGTAAAGTGGACACTCACCATCAGATACATCTGAGTAAGGTTGGACTCTCCGCTTCGTAGGTCGATCTTAAACTCTTCATAATATCTGTGAAATAAAATGCTCACATTATTTCTGTTTGACCCCTTCACCTGCAGTGAGCCATTATTCCAACTAAACTAAGTCTGACCTCGGCTGTTTGTTCAGTTTTACAGCCTGATTTATTTCCTCTCCATTGAGCACAGTACCAGATGGATTTCTAATCCCCTTCTAAAATGATTTAAACTGGTCCAGATAATATCATTAGGACAAGAAAAGTTAATTTTCCACTTGTTGATGGTGCTTGCAGGAATATTTTGTTGGAAAGACATATGTGCGAAGTCTCAGCAAAGCAGAGCGGCGGGAACTGTTATGAGGCGCTACTGAAGCGTAGAAGCAAAGACAGAAATCTCTCTCTTATGCTTCACTTCCTCCAGGTGTCCTCGCACAGAGGCGGCGCAACCTGCCGTCTCTTGAGGGCGTGTGTGTGTGTCTCTGACTATGCACGCCTCTTTATGTGTGTGTGCGTGTTTTTTTGTCCAGGGCCCAGGTATACAGCGCTGATTAAACCCACGGCTAAGCGAAAAACACGCCCGGCTGCCGGCTCCAATGACCCTGAATACACATATGGCTGTTTTGGGGAAAACAAATGGGCGGAAAATGGAATACACAGGCCCAGCTGGTACAGAGGAGGACGTGTAGATGGAGGGGGAGTCACTGAGCTCATCCAGAGGAGCAGAAAAACAAACTTTACAGCCAAGTCAGGTGGGGAAAACAGAATCGGATATTTGTCTCTGCATCTGTGCTGTTAGCCCACTGTGTTTGAGGATACCTTCCAATCATCTCAGAGTTGTTATAGACGGGGATGTTTGGTCGGAAGCTGCTGTTGTAGGGGCCGAAGTGGCAGTTTGGGGAGCCAAACCATTCATCGAAACCGTGCTGTAGAGGAAGGTACCGCGGTCTGTGGCCCAGGTGCCTGCAATAACAAAGAAGGTGTGCAATTAATTAATAGGAAATAAAGTTTTCTAATGTTAGATTAACTCAACAGATTGCAGACATTTAACCAATCCGTATATTATGTCCAATAAACAAAGCAGATGTTTGTGTTTTAAACTACAGTACAACATATTTTTATCCTACCAAACACATGCAGGGCTGTTTCAATTTGTATCTTTGCAACATCAATACTTGCATAATCAGTTTTGGGTAGGGTGGCGATGATGTCGGCACATTTTATGGCGTTGCGAAAATTCTATATTTCTTTATTCTGTATTTTTAGAGTTTTGACTGATATTCTGTGTTTGGTTCCATCCATAACCACCCAGAAACTGCTCATTTATACACAGAAGAGAGTCTAAAATGCTCATTCTTTCATCTATTTCTGCATTTAAATCCAATACAGGCCTGTTTTATAATGATTGGACAATGTCAATATGTGATCCATAAACTATCCTAAATTAATAATAAACAGAAGACATCAATCAACAGTATTTCATAACAGTTCAATTAACTTAAAGCACAGATAATCCATAGTGTAAAAAGAAAATAAATGACATAACAAAAGTGGTTATCATAAGGAATCTAGGGGATGAAGACCAGCCAACACTGATTAGATAATCCAACTGTAGAAATCAAAGGTTGCTAAGAGTTATGATTAAGGCTGTACAATGAGTTTCACATTATTTTAGAATGTTTAGATGTCCCACTAATCAACATAGACACTGATAATTACCTGGATGCCTTTGCTGTACCCAATTAGTTTATAAGTTGGTTACGTTTGAAGAGATTAGATTGGATAATTACTATACAAAGAGCATATATACCACTGATGTAACATCAGCTGGTGGGTGTTTTGTTTGTGCTCTATGCCGCAAGTCCATCAGGATAAATACATGAATAATAATAATAGTAATTACGACATTATTTATGTGGCTTTAAATAGAAAAAACATATATAAAATGGATGTTGGAAACATGTAGACTGAACATACAGTCCATTTACTGGCAACCCTGGTGCCTGTTTTTGAATGTCTTCAGATAAATTCAGCTTTCGCTGTAGTATTCAATTAAAAAAACATATTATTTGAGAAAGTGTGCTTTGGAAATTCCTTGTATAACTACCATGACCATCAGACGCAGCTCATTTTTATTCTAAACTTCTGCACAATCTCTCCTGGTCTTCATTCAGTTTCTTTCTCACTCATGGAAACCTGTTTATAGTATCCAGCATAAACCAAAACATTTTTATATTACAATTGTTAGTTTTTTAAACCGCCTGTGGGGTAATGACCACTAAAAGGGTTACCCTGATCATGGGAAGGAAAACAGCACCACACATCCTTCACCGTACTTATTACTGGGCATAAAGGGCTTTTCCACATTTTCCTTGGTTTCACTACGATGGGAATGTGTCTGATATTGACAAAGCTGAATGTCATCTGACAAAAAAAATGACAATTACAGCGATATCCCAATTGGAGTGATAATGTATTCAGATTTTGCTTATTTAGCCTGTAAAGGGTCCATTTCACGAAGTTTTCTAAACCTGAAATTAGAGAAATTCTTGTTTTTCTCCGTTTCAGAAAGAGTTTCTTTAACCTCTGTTTCAGTTAACATAGTAACATTCTCCCCAGAGTCAGAAGCAGGTCCGTTAGACACAGGTTTTAAAAACAAACATTGCATGTTCTTCTTGATGAGGATCTTATTAAAGAATTAATTAAAAAAGAATGAATGCGTACCTTTAATATTCAGATAATTATGTTTATGAGCACATCTGTTTTCCCTCGCCATTCCATCACATTTATCCACAACCTTATCCATCCTCACATTTGCAGCATGACACAGACTTTTACACAGAACATTGTTGTGTGTATGAAAACAACGTTATATAAAATACAGCTGTACAGTCAAATAGCGCCAGTCCTATAGAATGGCTTCAGCGTGTTCCTCCTCTACCTTCTAGTGGTTTCTTATGGCTGATAATATGCAGTTTATCACTGATAACAGTAAGTTTCATTGACCTACTTTATAGTTTTTATCTACATTATTTAAAGTGTACCAATCCAAAAAATAAAAAATAAAAAATCAACTAAGTTTTAAAGGTTTACTTTGAATGAATCATACATTTCAGTCACACAGATTTAATCTGGTGATTAAAAACAACTCAGTTGACAGGATATGAGATTTTTTTGTTTTTTGGTTTGCAACATGCAGATATTTTTTTCTTTCCAATTCGTACAATACATGAAGAACTATTGAAATTATTTTCAGATTACACATAAATAGATTAATAAAGTCCAGGGGGAAGGGTACTACCTTTGGGTTAGGATTAGGATTCACTTGGTGATAACCTTCTGAGCGTCCTAGGAGGTAGGAGGCAAAATCTTAAGCCATTCTATGGAACTGATAACCAGTAATAACGGCCATTTATTGGGATGACAACATCCAAAGCAGCACTTCCTGTTGCCTGTCCTCATGGTAACTCGTCGAATCGGGGATCCACTGATAATGGCCACTGATAATCAATTCAGGGTTGAGGATTTGAGTCTGCTTACTGAAACGTACCAAATGTCTTGAAATGTTTAGAGCAATTGAATTTTTTTTGGTTAATAAGTTAAATACTCCTTAAAAAAAACAGCTCACCACTTGCCAACTATCTTGCTGACATAACCTTTTTTCTTCAGCATTTCAGGCAACAAAATCTCATCCTTGGATATTCCTCCCACTATCTCCTGTGGTGTGTAAGCTACAGAAACAAAACAAAAAGAAAATAAATAAACATATAAGCATGTATTCATATTACGCAATTATAAGCAATCAATTAAATGCAAAGATATAGTTCTTTATAACACGTATTCAAACCTTACAGATTTGTTTCCTGGTTTGCTATTCTGTCACACTTAAATGTTTGAGACAAAGATAACCCCAATACACATTTCATTTTAAAGTGATTTCTATTCTTTAAAGATAAACTGCCCCACCCTTCTTTGTAGATTTTTATTATTCAGCCTCACTGAAGAGTCATTAATCATACAGCTCCTTCAACTGGCATTAGAGCAGTGCTTTGACTAGACCACTCTGAAATTTCCTTTTTACTTTCCTTTTCTTTTTTTTTTTTTGGATTATTTCTCCTAAGATATTCCAAGTATGCACGAGCTCAAGGTCCCCAGCTGATGGTCAGGTGTTGCAGTTAGAAAATTCTGGCAGAGACCAAAATTTGTGTTTCCATCAAATACAGCAAGTTGTCTCTCATGAAAGTAGCACAGCAACCCCAAACTCTCACACTGCCTCTATCATGTTTATCTATCGGTATGATGGCGGTTCTCTAAATCCCTGTTTAGATCCCTATACTAGGTGGGAGGCTCACCTAAACGAACATGCAAACCAAATTTTGGTGGTATTTGTGGCGTTACAAGAACACAAGAATAAATCTTGTCCAACTTCAACTGTTCAAGATGATCCAAAATGGGTCGGTCAATAATGCTGCAGGATTATGGTTTAAGGAAGAACTTGTAACTAAAATCAACATGGCAGCACAGGATATTTCAGTTTTTGTGATTTCTTATGCCGCTTGCTGCTATTTCCATAATTGGCTAAAGCTACTCTTCGATAGGCAGGCATAGACAGCTTGGAAGGTTCTGCCGAATGCCTCGTCCTTCCCAGATCGGAGCAGTCCCAGATTAATATGGTGTAGAACTAAAGTGAGTAGTTACACATCATCAATCTGGCTTGCCAGGTTAATGCACAACACCTAAGAAATTCAACTTTTATCTTTTCAATACAACTAATATTTCCTCAATACTTTGGACTATGCTTTTTATTTCTTTTTGATCAAATTTCAAACTCATCCAGACATGCAGCATCTAATACCAGCTGAGTCCTAAACACATTATGGAGATGTGAATATTTAACTTAAATGAAGTTAGTAGGACTGGCAGTGCTGTAGTTGTTCCTTTTTCACCTCCTTTATGGTTCATGGAGTAATACTGGTAGACCAGCCAATAATGGAAAGGTTCTCCACAGTTTCATGTTTTCTTCAAATGTGGATAACGGCTCTCACTATAGTTCACTGGAGCAATAAATCCTCACACATACGGTGGCTTTGAACCTTTTACAGACTGATTGATTGCATAATGTTTTCATACAGGTTTTATTCACTAGACTTTTTAATTCTATTGGTCAGACACTAACCGGGTCAAGATGTGGTGAGGACAACTAGACCAATAGAAAGTTGTTAATTGTAGTCAGTTTCTGATACCACCAATGGAAATGGAGGGATTTTATTTCCATATAGGACTAATATGGTTTGAATAAACTTTTTCCCTTGAACAAAATAAGAATTTGAAACCTCAGTTTATCTTTAATAATAACTTTTGTTTGGTAAATCTGAAACACTTAAGTGTGAGAAAAAAAAGCAATGGAAGAAATCAGTAACTGTGTACAGCATAAAAACAATCCAAAACAAGACCTGGTTATACACACCATATAGAAAGAGAACCTTTAAAGAACATATTTAAAGCATGATGAGAGTTTACCATTCCTAGCGTGAGCATTAGTGGTGTAGAATCCATTCCTGACAGGGAGCCTCCCCGTGAGAAGTGCAGCTCTTGCTGTGGACAAAACAGATTTTAAGATTTCGAAATCCTTTATGTGAATATTCTTCATTCTTGCACCAATATGGAAACTGCAATGAAGTTGCTTAACATTTCACAGCAAAAAAAGATTAAAATACTTGACTTAATGTTTGTATTAAAGGCAAGGTACAGAATTAAACTGTTTTGTTTTAACAATGAATAATTATTCCTCTAAGTTTTAGAGTACAATATGTGTAAGTTCTTTTTTTATGTGATCTGTCTTTGGCAGTCAGGTTTTGTTGGCTTCATGCACCCACTGATTAGAACTTTTGGTAACTCGGACACTTTTATGGCCTTGCACATAAAGTACAAGTAAAGTATGATGTGATTCCAAAAATATTTCATATGCAGCAAGCTCATTTAAGGCTTTCTGAAAATAAATCTGATGTTTTTATAAAAGAAAATCTTAAAAAGAGATGTTACTTTGGGAACGATAGAACATCTAATCGTGGTCTATTCTTTCGGAATGAAAATATCTTTGGAGTATTTGCACTCTGATTTCAACAGCATCTGAGAAAAGGATGTGACATTGCTAAGGCAGGAATTTTCCCCAGAACTAACTCTGGATTGTCACTCTACCACAGCTCCAGATATACCAGCTCCTCATAAATCAAATCTTAGTGTATACTAAATGGTATCCAATGTTGTTATAAATGAACATTCTGGCACCATTAATAAGCAACTATTTCTGAAGATTTTATGGTTAGTCAATGTAAAGGGCCTTTATTCAAACCAAGGCTGCAACTAACGATTATTTTGCAAAAAAATAATCTGTAGATTATTTTTTAGATTGATCGATTAATAATCAGATAGCCAAAGGTTCCTTAAAGAAGACTTTTTGCTAAATTAAACCAGGTGAAACTAAAACTTTTCTACTTTAGGAGTTCTGGATAGAGCATATTGACAGAAAACAACGTTGTTGTTTTTTTATCTTAAATTTGTACTTTTTTCTTTTACATTTTGGTATAATTACTGTTCTAAATACGTCGCTCTGTCTGCTAAAGGCATGTTTTACAGTCTGTGCAATCCTGTTATTAGTTGATGATCATTTCAATTATTGATTAATCCAATTAATTGCTTCAGCCCTAAGTCAAACATGAGAATACAATTCTTCACATAATAAAAAAAGGCCAAAAAACAAATGGTACCCAGGTTATCCTAGTTGTTAGATCTGCCACATGCTAACCATCAGATTCACTGTTTTGTGTAACATGTGGTGGTTTTTAAATATACAGGTGCTGGTCATAAAATTAGAATATCATGAAAAAGTAGATTGATTTCAGTAATTCCATTTAAATAGTGAAACTTGTATATTATATTCATACATTACATACAAACTCATATATTTCAGATGTTTATTTTGTTTAATTTTGATGATTACAAATGACAACAAATGAAAATCTCAAATTCATCATATCAGAAAATTAGAATATTACTGAAGACCAATAAAAACAAAGGATTTATAGAAATGTTGGCCAACTGAAAAGTATGAACATGAAAAGTATGAGCATGTACAGCAATCAGTATTTAGTTGGGCCTCCTTTGGCCTGTATTACTGCAGCAATGCGGCGTGGCATGGAGTCGATCAGTCTGTGGCACTGCTCAGGTGTTATGATAGCCCAGGTTGCTCTAATAGTGGCTTTTAGCTCTTCTGAATTGTTGGGTCTGGTGTATTGCATCTTCTTCTTCACAATACCCCATAGATTTTCTATGGGGTTAAGGTCAGGAGAGTTTGCTGGCCAATTAAGAACAGGGATACCATGGTCCTTCAACCAGGTACTGGTAGCTTTGGCACTGTGTGCAGGTGCCAAGTCCTGTTGGAAAATGAAATCTGCATCTCCAAAAAGTTGGTCAGCTGCAGGAAGCATGAAGTGCTCTAAAACTTCCTGGTATGTGGCTGCGTTGACCCTGGACCTCAGAAAACACAATGGACCAACACCAGCAGATGACATGGCACCCCAAACCATCACTGACTGTGGAAACTTTACACTGGACTTCAAGCAACGTGGATGAAGTGCCTCTCTTCTTTTCCTCTGACTCTGGGACCTTGATTTCCAAAGGAAATGCAAAATTTACTTTCATCAGAGAACATGACTTTGGACCACTCACCAGCAGTCCAGTCCTGTTTCTCTTTAGCCCAGGCAAGACGCTTCTGACGCTGTCTGTGGTTCAAGAGTGGCTTGACACAAGGAATGCGACAGCAGAAACCCATGTCTTTCATACGTCTGTGTGTGGTGGTTCTTGAAGCACTCACTCCAGCTGCAGTCCACTCTTTGTGAATCTCCCCCACATTTTTGAATGGGTTTTTTTTCACAATCCTCTCCAGGGTGCGGTTATCTCTCTTGCTTGTACACTTTTTTCGACCACATCTTTTCCTTCCCTTCGCCTCTCTATTAATGTGCTTGGACACTGAGCTCTGTGAACAGCCAGCCTCTTTAGCGATGACCTTTTGTGTCTTGCCCTCCTTGTGCAAGGTGTCGATGGTCGTCTTTTGGACAACTGTCAAGTCAGCAGTCTTCCCCATGATTGTGTAGCCTATAGAACTAGACTGAAAGACAATTTAAAGGCTTTTGCAGGTGGTTTGAGTTAATTAGCTGATTAGAGTGTGGCACCAGGGGCCATCAATTTTGAACCTTTTCACAATATTCTAATTTTCTGATATGATGAATTTGAGATTTTCATTTGTTGTCATTTGTAATCATCAAAATTAAACAAAATAAACATCTGAAATATATGAGTTTGTATGTAATGTATGAATATAATATACAAGTTTCCCTATTTAAATGGAATTACTGAAATCCATCTACTTTTTCATGATATTCTAATTTTATGACCAGCACCTGTATGTAGCCAATCTATTACTAAAAAGTGAGAAAATATTTAACTTAAAACTCATTTGGTTTAATCAAACGTTTAATTTCACCTCATCTTCAAATAAAGGAACATTTGTGGAGTTTCCTAGGAAATGTTTATCATCACATCATGAGGAAGTTGTGCTTTAACTATGAAACAGCTAAAGGTATGAGAGTGAATAGACATATCAAATGTTGCAATATGAAACACAAGCCTTGGTGACTTTTATATTTTGCACAAACGTCTCTGCTAACCCACATGGGGAACACAGTGGGTTGGCGGTGTAGAAGTTTGTTAGGAGCATCCCCTGGGTTGCCATGGCATCCAGGTTGGGGGTCTCTTTAGAAGGCTGACCGAGCACCCCCAAATCCCCCCAACCCATCTAAAAAAAACAGCACAGGAAGCCAGTCACATGTTTGTAGAGGAATATATGCCAAAAAAACAACAACACGTGAACACAGAGTTAATAAAGGAAGTAAGAAACACACATAACTGCATAAATCGAGCATAAGCTGGGCTGTAAAATCAGTCTAAGTCAGAAAATACTTACGTCATCCATGAGCATGATGATAATGTTTGGTGATGAACCATTTGACAGCTTTTCTGTCAATGAACAACATATCGTTATACTAAGAAGAAGAAAACTTGTTCTACAGACTACTTTCATTGCTGTGCTGAAGTCATATGAGCGCTAGCATCACGGAAGAGGCGTGTTGCATTCGCGTCCATCTGCCAACACAGTGACGCCTGGAATGAAACAAGCTTATACCTATTTTTACTGTTAATTTTACATTCACTTTAATTTATACTTTTTAAGCTCAATTTACTGTCAGTTAAACGTTATGAAATATTGAATATATGTATGCTTTGTTGTATTCATTAAGCGAATCTCTTAAAATCGCAGTAATGTGTTACCCAGACAAAAATAAGACAGAGATAATGCATACAAATTTTTATCAATTTTTTTTTTATAATCCACGATAAAACCCTACAGATATTGCTAATATAGCACGTTGTCACCTTAAATCAGATCTCAAATGGATTTCTGATTAGACACTCGTATTTTTCTTCAGCATTTGAATGCAACTGATCACGTGACAGCAGCAGTCAGCTGCAGGGAGAACAAAAACATGGCGGTTTGCATAGCAGTGATCGCTAAAGAGGTACCGATATCTCGTTAATAATTTTGTTGTAACGCACTTTACAGGGTTAAGGGGTTTTCGCAAAACCATTAAGCGCTTCTATGAGATTTTTAGCTTCTTGTCTACGACCAGTATTAGATAATAACGCAATGCTAATGTTAGCATCGTACTGGCTATCCTACTGTTTCCATTTCCGACTTCTTTTTTTTAGAGATCTTAAAGATTTATTTATGAAATGTTTTGCTTTTATTGTCTTCTGACATTTTCCCCAGAACTACCCACTATACATACGCAGTGTGCCATCTCAAAACGAGTTGAAATTCCACTACACGGTTCACACCTCTCTGGATGTGGTGGAGGAGAAGGTCTCAGCTGTGGGGAAATCCATAGGTGACCAGAGGGAGCTCTACCTGGGTCTGCTCTATCCAACTGAAGACTATAAAGTGTATCCTTTACTTTTAAACCCCAGCCACTACGAATATACATATCATTATTGATTTTACTTTAAGGAGAAAACGTTTAATTCACTCAAAGTTTTGTGTTTTGGTGCCTTTTTTGTGTCCTTAACTGGAGGAAATAGATATGGGTATGTAACCAACTCCAAGGTTAAATTTGTGATTGTTGTGGACTCCTCCAATACATCATTACGGGACAATGAAATACGAAGTGTAAGTATATCGTTTTTACTTTTTAGTTACAGGACATAAAAAAAACATTGATGTCTCTGTGTTTTTCCATTTATTTGAATCCATGTCATCTGTCAGTCTGTTATTGTTTTATTATGTATTAAAATAACTGTGTCTTTTTTTTACTTTACCACAATGGCATCGTTTTATTAAACACCTGTGTGGTGAATGTCACAATTTTTACGGAGGTTTAGATGATCAAGCAACTATTATTTCCTATTTCGGGGTCCTGTTTTAGAGCATGGGGTTAATCTTTTCTGTGTAGAGAGCAGGTAACCTGAGTCCACTTTGTTGGTAAGCTTTGTGATATGCAGGATTTTCAGTTTCAGCACAGGGATCGGCCAACTCGACTCTGAGTTAAGCAAGCCCAGAGTTCTGTATGTATTAAGTGTGTAAATGTATTAAGAAGCTCTCATTAGTGGAATGCTAAAAATAGTATCCATCATGGCAATAGAGGAAATAAGAAGCAGAGACCAGTTAAAGCATGATTGAGGATTAGATCAAGAATTAAAGTCTTCAACATAACACGTGTGGGAAATATGTTTCTGGGTGTAATCTAGCAGGACATAACAGTAAATCAAGATAAAATCTAAAAATGCAATTAAATGAGGTATGTCAGCTTTTGTTATTTTGAGGCGTTTTACCTACTGAACGACACTTAACAAATATTATAAATATGTAAGAATTTAAGCCTTGGTTAATGACCTATTGGCAAAAAGAGAACATGTGTAACTGAAATGTTTTCTGACCCTCTCTTTGAAATAGCTGGTCAAATATATTTACAACAATACCTGGAAACATGTTTAAACAAATAAAGCGAACTTAAAAATATTAAAAAAAACAAAAAAAACAAACATATTCTTTATTTAGTTAAACAATTCATGTGAATATCATATATGCTTCTAGTTATGCTTGGAAACCCAGAACTATACAAGTGGATATTGCTTGAAATATCCGAATGTGATACATTACATACCGTACTAAATTATTGCCTTTAACTGATACCAGCAGGTCTGCATGTTTTATTTTATTCATGTGGATTTTTAAAAAGGAAAAATAAAACTGTATGTGTTGGAGTTGTAATGTAAATACAATGCTACATTCCAAGTTATTGGAGCTTTTCTCTTTGCAATGCTCAGTTATAAAATATAATTGAACAAAACCTAAGTGAAGAGAGAAAAAAAAAAAAGACTTGAGCGCTCGGACACCATGTCAGGAAGGAAATCAGTTCCTAGAAATTATGATCTAGTGGGCATTTGGACTAAGGCTGCTCAGTGGCGCAGTAGGTAGCACTGCTGCTTTTCAGCAAGAAGATTCTGGGTTTGATTCCCGGCCCAGTGTCTTTCTGCATGGAGTTTGCATATTCTCCCTGAGCATTCGTGGGTTCTCTCCGGGTACTCCGGCTTCTTCCCAAAGTCCAAAAACATGACTGTTAGGTTAATTGGCTTCTCTAAATTATCATTAGGTGTGTGAATGGTTGTCTCTATGTTGCCCTGTGATGGACTGGCGACCTGCCTCTCGCCCGTAGACAACTGGAGATCACCAGCACCCCTTGCTACCCCACTTGGAATTAAGCGTGTAAAGAAAATGGATGGAATGCATTTGGACTAGTTGAGAAATAAGGCATTTTGGGCATTTATCACTGAATCCCTGACAGTTTGCACACAGCATAAAAATGAAGTGCATTGTCATACGATCTCTGGCTGACATTTTAAACGGAATCCTGATGAAAACTTTGCTTATTAATATATGGCTCTGTGTTAAAATGCAGCATAATGAGCAGTTCCTCACATCTACAGGGTCCTTTTGTAAAGGACACACTACAGGTGCTGGTCATAAAATTAGAATATCATGAAAAAGTAGATTGATTTCAGTAATTCCATTTAAAAAGTGAAACTTGTATATTATATTCATACATTACATACAAACTCATATATTTCAGATGTTTATTTTGTTTAATTTTGATGATTACAAATGACAACAAATGAAAATCTCAAATTCATCATATCAGAAAATTAGAATATTGTGAAAAGGTTCAAAATTGATGGCCCCTGGTGCCACACTCTAATCAGCTAATTAACTCAAACCACCTGCAAAAGCCTTTAAATGGTCTTTCAGTCTAGTTCTATAGGCTACACAATCATGGGGAAGACTGCTGACTTGACAGTTGTCCAAAAGACGACCATCGACACCTTGCACAAGGAGGGCAAGACACAAAAGGTCATCGCTAAAGAGGCTGGCTGTTCACAGAGCTCAGTGTCCAAGCACATTAATAGAGAGGCGAAGGGAAGGAAAAGATGTGGTCGAAAAAAGTGTACAAGCAAGAGAGATAACCGCACCCTGGAGATGATTGTGAAACAAAACCCATTCAAAAATGTGGGGGAGATTCACAAAGAGTGGACTGCAGCTGGAGTGAGTGCATCAAGAACCACCACACACAGACGTATGAAAGACATGGGTTTCTGCTGTCGCATTCCTTGTGTCAAGCCACTCTTGAACCACAGACAGCGTCAGAAGCGTCTTGCCTGGGCTAAAGAGAAACAGGACTGGACTGCTGGTGAGTGGTCCAAAGTCATGTTCTCTGATGAAAGTAAATTTTGCATTTCCTTTGGAAATCAAGGTCCCAGAGTCTGGAGGAAAAGAAGAGAGGCACTTCATCCACGTTGCTTGAAGTCCAGTGTAAAGTTTCCACAGTCAGTGATGGTTTGGGGTGCCATGTCATCTGCTGGTGTTGGTCCATTGTGTTTTCTGAGGTCCAGGGTCAACGCAGCCACATACCAGGAAGTTTTAGAGCACTTCATGCTTCCTGCAGCTGACCAACTTTTTGGAGATGCAGATTTCATTTGTGCCTTTTGTTCACAGGTATCCCTGTTCTTAATTGGCCAGCAAACTCTCCTGACCTTAACCCCATAGAAAATCTATGGGGTATCGTGAAGAAGATGCAATACACCAGACCCAACAATTCAGAAGAGCTAAAAGCCACTATTAGAGCAACCTGGGCTATCATAACACCTGAGCAGTGCCACAGACTGATCGACTCCATGCCACGCTGCATTGCTGCAGTAATACAGGCCAAAGGAGGCCCAACTAAATACTGAGTGCTGTACATGCTCATACTTTTCATGTTCATACTTTTCAGTTGGCCAACATTTCTATAAATCCTTTGTTTTTATTGGTCTTCAGTAATATTCTAATTTTCTGATATGATGAATTTGAGATTTTCATTTGTTGTCATTTGTAATCATCAAAATTAAACAAAATAAACATCTGAAATATATGAGTTTGTATGTAATGTATGAATATAATATACAAGTTTCACTTTTTAAATGGAATTACTGAAATCAATCTACTTTTTCATGATATTCTAATTTTATGACCAGCACCTGTATTTCTGGTGCTTTTCTTGTTTGATCTCCACTTCTATGTGCAACACTCAACATCAGACAGTCATTCAGAGTAATATGTGGTATAAATTAACATGCCATCTAAAAATCTGGAACATTCAGGGACTTACCTTGAACTTATTCAGATTTCTCATGTATCCCCCTTTCTGCAGCCCTGATGAATTCATATTAAAAACAAAGGTTTTTAACAATCTATGTTCATCTCATTCAGTGCTGATCATGTTTATACTGTTTTGTATTTCAGATGTTTAGAAAATTGCACAACTCTTTCACCGATGTAATGTGCAACCCATTCTATAATCCTGGGGATCCAATTCAATCAAAGTAAGATTGTTTTTTTTACATCTGCTTCAGAGAAAAAAAAAAGTTTGAAATTCATTTGAACTTTTTGTCTTCATTATTCAGGGCCTTCAATGGAATAGTCTCTGGAATGATGGTTCAAACAGGCTGACATCTCATCCAGTTAACCTTTGAGCATCC